ATATGCCATTTTCTGAAAATTTTACCAGGGGTGACCAGGGGTGCCCAAACTTTTACATGCAACTGTATTCATATATAATATACAATCACATTTAATCTTAAATCTGATATATTCTTGCATCTCTAGTCCTTCTTTCTCCTTATTTATAATTGCTTCAGCAATCAAAATGCAGAATTCACCTTGTTATGTTAAATGTTGCCACGGTGCAGAAAGTAATCCATTGGACAATTATAGGACAAATAATTAGACTGTACAGGACAGTGAAGAAGGACTTTGCTCTGTTGTGTTGTATAGTATGCGTGTGTGTGTCTGCTGTGTGTCGTCTCCTTGTACTGATGTTATCTGAGGCTTCACCTCAGTCAGATGCATTAACACAACCAGTGGCTGTGACATTGTCTTCACAGCTGGAGCTCCGTTCCCTGGCCGCCATGATCAGAGGTAGAAAACGAGAGAACTTCCCTAGTTGTCTGGCCTGTGAGACTCTCTGACCAATCTATGTTAGCTTTTAGCACAGCTGAAGACAGATGAGACTAAAAGGGGAGTCGTCGAGATGTAAACAGTCATTCAGAGTGGTTTGACGTGAAATGGTTCATTGTAGAGAAACTCACAGACTCTTCACAGTGGTGATAGGAACCAGGGGTTGCCATGCCTTCAACATGAATATAGCCATTTTATTTACTATACAACGCCACTGGTGAACCTGTGTGTCCTCTAAGTTTTTATATTTAGTGTTCTTTGGGGACTAGTCTGTCTTATAACACCCTACATGTGCTTCTGCGCCATGAATGGCATTTTAAGCCTAACCTCAAAACTCAAAACTATTGTAAAACAATCTCTCAGCCATTAAGCAGTGTATTCATAATCATTTCCTGTAATAACTTTTTTTGATGTAGCTTTTACAGGCGTTAAACTCCTTAGACATCTGGTGACCATAACTGCCACTGTGAACAATTCTGAATATGTATCATACCACTCTTAATGACTTGAATGACAGGCTTAGATTAATTCTTACACTACATTTGTAGCCTCAAATTTAGTATTTTTCCCAAACGTCAAGTTGTTAAGATTCATGTATATTCAGGTGCCTCGCTGGTCAGAAAAGTCCTTGTTTCTCTCCTGAGAGAAGCTAGCCTTTCAAGCTATATTAGCTTTTGCTTTTAGCAAAAATAAAATGCTATTGCAAACATTTGCTTAATGTCTAATCTTGCAACATTTTGATTGAGCTTAACTAATTTTGTATTTAATAGTCACTTCCTTGGTGCTTGACTAAAGCTACGCTTAATAGCTTACCATGACGCTTTACTGTTGGATAACATTAATACTACAGCTTTGGCTTCTTTTAAGTTGAGATTCTTTTGAGGGTGTGAATATAACCACTTTTCTCCAGAAACAATCAAAACAATCATCAAGGTGGCAGTTAACCATCTCAAACTGATTCACTGATTCATTGTAATTGACTGTAGCATAATATTGTTTGTCAGAAGATGCAATTCTCAGGCAAATCAATACCTAGACAGAGACTAGGGATGTGCATTCCAGCTAATTTTCATATATGAGCACCCATGAGAGTTCATAAACAGATATCTGGTTAACCTAGAAGAAGGGAGAAAACAATGGCAAAAAAAGCTTACTTCGGCTGACATTGATGTACAGCTGCGGCTTACCTTTTTAAATGACAGTTTACAGAGTAATACATTGTAAAACGTATTATTGGTCTTTGAGGACTATTTTGCCTTACAACACTCTGTATGCACCTCTCCACCATGAATGCCTTTTAATATGTTTTAAGCCCAAGCCTTACCTCAAATCTATTGTAAAGAACATCTCAGAGATCAGGCAGTGTTTTCATAATCACTTAATATCGTAACTTTCTGTGACATAGTTTTTAGAGGCTTCAAACTCCTCATATGTCTTGTTCCTATCACCACTGCTGGTAGAAAAAACAGCATAAACCACATACCTGGTCATCAGCAAAACCAGCTTATGTTGTGTTTTGGATGCAGGTATGTAGGTCAACCAGTATAGCTATGCTGGGTGATCAGCTAAACCAGCTTTAACTAGCATAAACCAGTTTAGACCAGCATGGAATGCATGCTGGTCTGAAGCTGTTTTTTTCAACAAGGATCACTGTGAACAGCCCTACTGAAAAAGACAGACCAGCAATCATTTCATGCTGGTCTAAGCTGGTCTTTGCTGGATTATGGTACCCTAGTGATGTTCTGGTTCTGGTTTAGCTGGTCACCCCAGCATGGTCATGCTGGTTAACCAGCATACCAGCTTTAAAACACAACATATGCTGGTTTTGCAGGTTTCTCTAGCAGGGTCTGACTCAGTAAGTTTCTCTTAATGTAGAGCTGTGGCCTTTTTTAGGTGACAACAAAGGAATACATTTGAAAACATTGAACAGGCTGTTTTTGTTGCTGTGCCTTTAAGACTGACATATGTAAATAAGCTCTGTTCTGATTGGCCGCTTGGTATTAGGCCTCATTCAAAAAGCAGTCCAATTTTTTTGCCATGAAATTGGCTCTTTAAGTGTGATTGAAACAAATTTTGAAGCAGGTATATTTCAGATAGATGGGATGTTACTTTGTGGAAGACATCAGTGTCATGAAAGTACATTAGAGCCTTGAGAGTGAACCAAATGTTGAGTTTCTGTGGGAACTCTGACTGTATTTCAGGTCATTTTCACTTGAGCAGAACTTACTTTGTGTTTAGATGTTACAGATTTGAGCTCTACATTTTAACCATGTAAAGTTTAGAATTTATTTTCTCTGTCTGTTTACTTTTGGGCTCCCAAAGTAGGTGAAAATACTATGTCCACAGGTGCACTAGTGTTTTGTTGATGAACTCTAATGGCATTTCACTATTACAGAAACCAATATGATGAGATTCACCATTAATATCTGTTGTTGCTGAATTGTCCTAGGGCTTCAGATGCATATGTTCTCTCCCCCCCTTCTGGCTTTAATACAAGTTAACTCATAGTAGTCACACTTAGCACTGGTGATGAGAAAAATGTGATGGCACAAAGAAACAAGCAGATAAATTTGTTGAAGTTTCTTGCCATTGAAACACGTTTGAAAGAAAAAATTAAAACTTAAAACTGCCTATACAGACTGTTGATCCAGTGTAATTAATGCAATTATTTGTGTAGTTAACGGTGTAATTAAGTATGTGATTACATTTAAAATATAGAGCAAAATGAAAGTAATAAAAAGTGTATCCCTGAAAATGGTCAAAACTCTGAAATGGTAGTTTAGCTGTGGCCAAGATGCACAGAGTAAATTCTGTAATCCCGTGCTTTTGTGGCAGGATTAAAATCCCACTCAGATTTACATCAGACCCTGCTGGGGGAGGGGAGAGGGAGAGAGAGAGAGAGAGAGAGAAAGAGATATGGAGGTGGGGGAGGGGTAGCTGGATTAGAGAGGATGGTTCGTATCCTCTTACAGCACAGCTGTGCATGTGCAGAGCTGATCTTCTAAGAGCTGGTCTGAGACCAGATTCCTCTGCCTACAGTCCACACATAGATGATGATAAATGTAGAACTTGCACTGACATACTAGAGCAGGCAGCAGCTTTCGATCTTCTCACGTTAACCTTTCTGAGTGGCTGAGTGTGGAAAATGAGTCAGAAGACCCTGTGATGAAGTGTCAGGGTTCATGTGTTTCAAGTGGACAGCTAGACATTCCTGTCTTCCCATAGTTGCTAAACCAAGATTCTCCAGTTATCATGCTCCATATCAACCCATTCATTTTGGACTCACTCGGGAGCGCCCTCTAGCGTTTGAGAAAACTGGAAGACATTGCAGAGTGGTAATTCTCCTAAGTTCTCTTGCTCTACTTTGATTTCTTTAGCACTCTTGGTACTTAACATTTAGTACCAATAGTCTTATGGTTTAATATTAATTGAGTGATGATTTGAAGATTTTGCTAGTTTATTTTCTGATTATTAATGTTATTAACGAGAACTTATTTCTTTTGTATCCCATCACATCTGCTAAGTCTGTTCAAATACAGAGAATTTCCCATTCAAAAACGGTTTCAGTGCTCTGTTGAAGGGAAAGGGTGGGGTTTGGAAACCAGGAGGCAAGGAGGGCGTTTGCATAGTGCATAATCATGCAGTTCCTGAAGAGAGTTCAGGTTTAAGGATGCTCCTGTGCCATTTTCAGTAGTTAAACTGGATAACTCTAATACATAAAAATATGTAACAATATATTATTTAACTTTATTAATAATCACTTTAGGGATAGTTTAAACATGAATTTTCACATTCTCACAATCAGATCTGTGTATATAAAGATGTTTTCTAAATTAGGGCCCTAGGTGTCTATCATTTATAAAACTGCTCCCGTTGGAGTCATTTTATAGAAGAAATCAGAACAAAACAGTTCAATCTAAATAGGTTTTACTAAGTAATTTTGGACCATGTCTAAAGGTTCATTTGTCAATGTTCACACAATGTGAAAGGCGACCAGCTTTTTCAAATGGAATGAAAAAAAAGTGAAAAATTGGGTCATAAGCTTTTGATACAACAGTGATGATATACTACAAAAATAGGGTTGTAAATAAAAGCCATTAGCCAAAGACAAACAAAATCAGTTGCTCTTCAGCGATATTTAGAGTGGACAAAATGCTTTGGGTCAGAATTCCACAGCAGCGCCAGGAATAGTGTTCATGCTGGGAAGTGTACTGATGAACTCAATGCTTATGAATGAATGAGAGGGAGAGGGAGAGAGAGAGAGAGAGAGAGAGAGAGAGAGAGAGTTGTAGTAGTAGGAGAGGTGTGCTGAAGGAAGGAGGAGTATGATATGACATCCTTGGGCAGCTCTAGTTGTAATAGAGGCTTATATAAGAAGGCTTACATAAGGGTAGATGGCTTTGGAGGGTAGATGGGGGGCAGCTGATGGGCAGTTACTGAGGGGGTGGATCTAGTGGTATTCTAAACAGCAGGAGAGGATTGTGGGATTAGGAGTTTGTCAGAGGGGGAGTGGGGGGGGCGTTATTAAAGTAACAGGTCATTGAGTGGATGTGAGTGCATGTGCTCACATCTGTGTAAGCCTGGCTGCCAACTGAATCTCTGGACCTATTTCTTCCTTTCTTTCCTTGCTTCCTATTACTCCTTCACTCTGTCTCTCCCTTGTTGGTGTTTCATCCTTTTTTTCTATCTTTCCGCTCCTCTGTACTCTATTAGTGTACTATTGGGTCAGTGTTGGTCAGGGCGCTGCGTGTGCAGTCAGGGTCAGTGCAGTTTGACTTTAAACAAGAGATGGTTCTAGCCCTGGGCGAAACGTTCTCCAGCGGTTCACCTTCGGACACGGGGGGCACTGGAGAGGGGGCTGCACAGCCTGCCGAGGGGGCGGATTCCTCCAGAGGTTAGAAATTTGATTTCTTTTCCCTTGACTTCACTTTTTTTGCTTGTTTTCCTTTAAAGGGCCTTTATTCCCCATTTTGCTTGTATGTTTTCATCCTCTTAAGGTCCACACTCAATTAATCTTTACTTGACCATTTCCCAACCTCTTTCTTACCTTAAAATTGAACAAGCTGTTTTGTTACTGTTTCACCTTTAAGACTTATATATGTAAATGACCACTGCTCTGATTGGCTGCCCTGTATTGTGCCTCTTTGAAACATTCCTTATTACTTCAGCATAAATGAGTAGGGCTACACCGCTCTAGGCGGAATAGGCAAATATGAATCATTCTACCGAATTTGTTCAAAACACATTTCAGCCTTTTAACTGACTTGGACTTTAGCCTAACATCCTTTCACTTTGAGTGACTCTACACCTTATTTATGTTTATTTTATTAAAATAAATGATTGAACATTTAATTTTGTTACTACCAAAACAGTTATAGCACCATCAAATCTTTACCAAATGTTTGGTAGTAACTGTTTCTGTAGTGATCACTTTAGCTAATTTTGAGCATCACTCACAACGCCAACCAGTACATGACTAGCAAACACAACTTTAAGCAGTTGTACAAACATAAAATCATAATATTTTTTAAAACACAAAAAAGTTTACTTAATTGCAGACAATGTGTGTTTCAATAGCAACAGTTCTTCATGTTACACACTGATTTTCAGACATTTCAAAAGCAATCGGATCTAACAGCTCACCATGTGGCCATGAGGGACAGGGATGCAGTCTCACTTCCTGCTCTGGGGGTGTGGCTAAAATTAGGCTTCACCTGTGGACTAAAATAGTGTGTTCGGTAGTGACATGAAAATATTTTCTGTAGGACACAGTTTGAATAATTCAGTTAAATGGTCTATATATGTAAATGTGATAGATTTCTTTCCATCATATGGGCTCTTTAAAATGTTGGTAATGTTTCTGTAATATGGTCATGCTAAGTGATACTGGCGACTGCAGGGGTGGGTAGAGTAGCCTAAAACTACACTTGAGTAAAAGTCAAAGTTGCTTCAGTGAAGTACAAGTAAAAGTAGCCAAGAGAAAAACGTGAGTAGGAGTGAAAAGTGAAAAAAGTGTCCAGTACTGAGTTGCCTATGGAACTGTGGAACTTCTTAGTGCATCCAGCATCTATCAGTATAAAACAATCATTTGTTAGAGTATGTTTTTTCTCTTTTTTGGGGTCCTTTTGGTCAGAGTAAAAGGTAGATTCCTTCCTTTACAAGTTACATATATATTTGCATATAAGTACAAGCCTTATCACTTGAGAATGCTCAGAGAAAATACAAATCTATCATAATTAAATATCATATTCATATTTGTAAATGGAAAAATGTAGACCCTCTTTTAATTTGTTTATTAGTGACTTTACTCAATTCCCTCAAAGTTTTACATTTATGAAAAAAACTAGGAAAAATACAAGAAATCGTATGTCCATGATGGAGTACCTACTCTCCATTTTTCCCTCTTGTTTTTTCCTTTTTTATTTATCTGTCTATTTTTGTCTTGCCTTGCAACCTTTTATTTTTACTTTAATGACATTTGTGTAGTTTTGCGTTTTTCATTGTTTTTAAATGTTTTTTGTATTTTGTTTAATTTTGTATTTACTAATTTCCCCTTTTTGCCCTATAATTCACTATAACTCAGTAAAAAATATCAAAATCTAACTTAAAGGGCCCACATCCTACATTTTTTTTTGTATTTTTTCCTTTTCTTCCTGAGGTCCACTTAAAACATTTGCTTGATGTTATGTACTAAAAATGGTCATAATAAATTTTCATTTTGCAACCTCTCTTTATCCCTTAGAATTAAACAAGCTGTTTTTGTTGCTGTGCCTTTAAGACTGATATATGTAAATTATTTCCTTTCTGATTGGCTGTCCTGTATTGTGCCTCTTTTAAAAAGCACAATGTCAGTTAGAATGGGTGAAGCTAAACTTCTGTAGCCGGAATAGAGTAAACGACTTGGTTTTTGTGGCATCACAGAAATAAAACGGGTTGTTTTTTTCAGCTTAGTTTCCGTATATGGACCACATTGACTGGATTTTGAAACATTAATGCCTACATATTACTACAAACTCATGTATTTAAAAAAGTCAGGGAAATTCAGTTTTCCATGTTATGAGCCCTTTAAGCTGAGGGCAACAGTAGTGCATTATAATGGAAACTATTACTAAAAACAGATGTGTGGGTCAAACTCTTACCACACCGCTCAGCATGCTTATCATGCAGAATGAAAATATGTTGTCAGCAATGAAATCCAAAGAATAAATGTACAAAAGATGGAAAATAGTGATATGAAGTAAAGAATGGTAGGGAAGTGAGAGGGAATTCCTGCATCTGGCAGGCCAGTTCCTGTATTACAGCAACAGAGGAATGGAAATAACCAATTGCCTAACTAGCATGACAGCATTAACATAGCACACTGCAATATGCGTGTTTGTCATGTTCTCTGTTTTGGCAGCTTGAAATGACATTTAAGTCGATTATACGTGACAAAAATGTGGTATAACTTGGCTCAGATTAGAGTCACATATTGTCACTGTCAGAATCTAGGAAGTTGTGTCAAAATCTAGAACATGGGACCTTTTTGTCATATCATTTTAGTTTAGTCTTTTTTACAACCGTGCAGCACTGTGGAAGATACTGCTGTAAACATGGTTTAACTTCTTTGCATCTTAGCATCTTAGCATTCTAACACTTACAGTGCTGCAAAAGGCTGATTCTTAATGTTGCTTTTCTTTCTCTGCTATGGTTAGTTGTAAAAGCTGGAGGTTTTCCACTATGCTGTTAGCACTGATATTAGCCAGAGCTGATAGTTGAAATTTTCTGTCAGCGAGGGATTATCAGTGTGTTCAAAGAGATATGAGACCCATATTTCTCACCCCTGTGAAGCATTTAGGCAGCAGATATTTCTCACATGGCGAGGGAAAGGAGGAGGGCGAGGTGTTCTGGTCAAACAGAGTTAGCATGAGTTGCCAGATATGTGATGGCTAACTGTGTAGATTTGAGTATGTGGTGTGTGTAGCTTATGGCTGTCTTTTTCTTTGTCATGTGTCATTAAAGATGTCAAGTATTTGTTTGCGAGAAAGGCTGGAGGTTTAATAAAAACAAAGCATTAGCTAGCACATACGCTCCACAGACATGAATGTATTTGATGCTCCACTGTAGAGATTTGTGTTGGTTCATGATTCTGTTTGACTTGCAAAGCTAATACACCACCAGACCATGACCTGTGTGTGACCTTAGCAGAGGGCAGTGTTCATCTCTCAGATAGAGTTCGTAGAATTGGCAGTGATTTCAGACTAGCAGGCTAGCATGCTATGCAAGCCTGGCCTAGCCACTACAATAAGGTCATTTAAAGGAGAGCCTTTGTCTAGGCTTTTTAACCAATGTAGTAGATGTAAAACTGGAAATGAATCATTTGTACTACTGACATTCAGTTTTGTGTTTGTATTGTCAAGAGTTCTGTTGACTTTTTGAAGACGATTTACATTGTAATGTACATGTGCAGAAGACCATAGTAAGCACCTATTTTTATAACATACTGACAATCTGATTATTCTCTTTTTATCTGGAACTGTAATAATTTTTAGTATCCTAATTATGTAAAATGCCATTTTATATATTCCATTATTTCCCAACTCTGCCAAAGTGATGCATTGAAGAGTCAAGTTACTCCATATGAATAAAATAAAGAATTGTGTGCAAAGGTTTGGGCACTCCTGGTTAAATTATATTTTAAACTAAGTTTTGTTTAGGTGAAAATTAATTAACACACTTCTACACATTTTAATGCAAAATTACTGTTCATCTGCTGAACTTAAGATATAAGAAAAAAATAATAAAATGCGGTCTGAGGAAAATTTCTGGCACATTTTGTATATTTCAGTATGTTAAATGCAAATAAAGAAAATTGTACCTGAAAGTCGTGCCAAAACATTGCATATTTGAGTTTGTTCTCTGTAGAGGATGTGTTAACTTATTTTCACTTAGAACATCAACAAAGTGTGTCATTTGACCAAGGATGCTCAAACTTTAATATGATTTCATATGAATCATATGATTGTATTACATCAACACAATTATCTTCCAGTTTACTTACTGTTGGCAATAATTATATTGATGTAATATAATTTATTCATGTAGAAACTATGTAATCATTTAAAAATGTTGATCAAGCACAAGTTTGTGGCACAGAAACATTTCTATAATGGCCTTATAATTACATGTAAATAATATACTTTGAGACAGCACAACTAGGAACGAAACACACCAAATGTTAAGAAGGTGTAATATGTTCAGAAACTTCAGTAACAGTAATCATTATAACTTTTCATTACTGAGACAGATTCACAGAACCAAGACATTTCACTGAAACATACCAATCTGGATGTGTGTGTGTGTATGTGTGCATAGGCATGTATTCTCTGGCATGCATGTGTGTGTTGTTTGTGAAGCATAAAATATGATAATACATATAATAATAACGTATGTATTATTAGTACAACAACAACAACAACAACAATAATAATAATAATAATAATAATAATAAACATTCTAAAAAAATAATACTAATAAAAGAATAAATAATAAGGCCACAAAAGTAATTGAACTATTATATATATTAAACTAATTATATATATATATATATTAAACAAATAATTGCTAATACTTGACTGAAATGCAAGCACATTTCTACATGAATAAAATATATCACACCAGCACTATTGCATTTTTCAGTTCACATTTGAATCAAGTAATTAAAATCCAGTAGTCTTTCAGTGTAGTCTGTTTAAGCAGTAATTTTACAGAGAGGTTTGTTCATTCACTTTTGTTGTATGTGTGGAGCTCTAAAGATTGTGATTGAACCGTAATTAAGTTAATTGAACACAGATCTGTCAATGGCCCCAAACCACAAATATGTGTTTGTGTTTTATTATGGGGATAAGATGGGTTGTGTGATGGCGTGCTATTATTGAAGTGTGTGTGTGTGTGTGTGTGTATGTGTGTGTGTGTGTGTGTGTGTGTGTGTGTGTGTGTGTGTGTGTGTGTGTGTGTGTATGTGTGCTCACTGCGTTCCTGTGTAATTTCTGCTCTAAGCTTCCTGCCTCTCTGATCCTTTATATCCTCTGTGTAGCCACGAGTCTGCTGGTTGCATTTCTAACAGACATATTTACAGTGTAAAATAAACAGCAGTAACACGGTGAGACTCGGAGGCGACTGCTAGAGGGGTCTTGATTGGGCTTCTCCTGATATGTTCCTCCTTAAACACTCTTACCCAGACTTTGTTTTTCTAGAATGTGAGAATATGGGTCATACATCTACTAGGGATGCACTGAATATTTATTTTTGTGGCCGATTCTGGTTGTGATTTCTTTACATCCAAATTGGCCAATGGCAGGTTTTTTGCGTTTTCACAGTGTGTGGACTAAATGAACATCTGAAACCTGCTAGCACATTTCCAGTATGTTCCATTTATTACTACTGTCATTACATAAATTCTGATTCCTGGTGATGGAGAGGTTTTCTCTAGAATATCCTGTCTTCTTTTTGGGTCTTCAGGCTTCTGATTGGCTTGTTCATGATTCCTCTGATTATATCTATCCATCTTGTAGCTGGTCATCCTCTTCCTCTTTTATCTTCAACTGGTCCAAGCATACTGGTCTTCTCAGAATATATAAAAAATAAGAGTTATATATTCTACCAATTGGTTATCTGCACGTCTGGTGAGAGGTGAGGCTTTATTTGGTCAAGGTTTCATCTTTTCATGATTGTTTTCTTTGCCAATGTACTTTAAAAACAAAGTTTGAAAGCATCATTACTTTTTTTTTTGTTCTTGTTTGTTGTTTAGCTTTCACGTCCATAAAGGACCACAGAGGCAATTTTGATCTTTATTTGTAGAAGCAATTTATTTTAAGTTTCCAAACAATAAATGAGTTGCCTTTAAATCACTGGAAATCAAAGAAAGTGCTATATATCGAGAGTAAAAGGCAACCTGCTGTTTAGCACAATAAGTAATTTGTTTATAAATCAATTATAATAATTCTATTAATAATAATACTAATACACTGGACGACTCCGCGTTTCAAGCAAAACTGCAGATTCGGTTTGTAATTTCGACCATGTATATATTTCATACATATGTAATAAAAAAATCTCTCCGTGTATTAAACACATACTTAAATATATATGTAATAGGAATGTTCTGCCCTAGAGGTCCTCATTTTTTCCATTTCAACGCTCACTTATTTATCACTAGAAAACATGAGGCCCACGAGATATTAAAAATGTCATTTTGGGGCAGTTTTCAACACAGCGATGTTTGGTTGCCTGCCCCTGCAGTATGTGACATGAGTCACTGAGCATAAAACATCAACAGATTATGCTAACAAAAGTTTGTTTTATATAAAAAATTTGATACAATAGTGATAAAAATAAGCTGAATGTTTCTATGATGCAATTTATACCAAGGGGCAAAAATTGATGAAGCTGTTGTAGCAGGGCTTATCAATAGTTTACCATTTGGAAGCATTTTTTTCATTGGGTTTTATTACAAAATGCCAAAACTGGCCCACAACAGACCACTTGCCCGCGCTCAGTATGGGCCTGAGGACCAGCAGAGGGTACTCCATGGCCCATTATTGTCCATGGACCACTGAATGAGAAACGCTGTTTTTCCTTAAACCCTATAAGTAACTCTTAACCTCAGTAACCAAAAAGAATTGGCTTTGCCACTTGAGTTTGAAATGATGAAAAATGGAGCAATTAACAAAGTCAGGATCATTTTGTTCTTTAAGATGAGGACAGTTACTGCTCTACTGTACTGATGTCAGGACAAACACACACACACACACACACACACACACACACACACACAGACAATAATTAATTCTTGCTTGTGGAAGCATAGCTGAAGTCATGATCTCCATAGTCATTTGGCTCTATTATAGTTTGTGAGAATAGGCTACATAATTCTTGTTCCAAGACAAACTTTGAAAAGCTTGTGTTTTTAATTGGCTGTTTTAACAAGAGGCATTAATTATGGGTTTAGTCAAAAGAGAATAGAGCTTTATGTTTCTCTCTCTCTCTCTCTCTCTCTCACACACACACACACACACACACACTCACCCACACACACAAAAATGCTCAGCTCGTCCACTTTTTCAACTTGCACCCTCTAGCTGTGTACCTTGGCTCACAAACTCAGCAGTTCCATTACAAATTCACCCCTGACCAACAGGAGGTGAATGAGCCGCTGATGGACTACAATGATGCACACAGTCATGGCTGAAGGTGTCTGTCATCCAGAGGTTTTGGTGACAGAGTGAATTGCTTTAACATGCCTGCCTTAAAAAGCATTTTTTTCCGATGACCACTCTGTCTGAGAATAGCTAATAGTGTGATCAGCATGCATTTTTGTGTGTGTGAGTGTGTGTGTGTTAGAGCTTGAGCTCAATACTGACTGTATATTACTACTGATACTGTACATTATCGAAGTAATCAGTACAAATACAGAAGCATACAGTATAACACAGTGGTGTGCCATCTTATCCCCAAAGGGCTGAGGTGACTGCAGGTTTTAAAGACCAACAAACCAGAGCACACATGATTCCACTTGTTTAAACAACTAGTCAGTCTTCAAACAACTGATCATATGAGCTCCTGCTTTCCCTTAGTGGACTTATTGGACACCACTGTTATAAAAATGCATTCAGGCAGCAGGTATGTGCCAGTGTAGGCAGTGTATCACAGTTGCTTAAGACGTTGCAGAGGATATCTTTACAGTACAAAAGTGTGCAAGTATTCTTGCAGTATAAAGTGTGCAAAGTTATTCTTTGAGTACAGAGCTTTATTGAGTTGAACATAGAGCTGAAAGATTCATTATTTTTATGGAAATTGGAGATGTAATTTTAATTATAATCTATTTTACCAACAGCATGGTTAAGTGTGAAGTGAAGAGATGTAACATAATAACATACAGCTTGTAAACTGCCTGTAGTTGAGTTAAACCAACTGAAGCAACCAAGCACTCATGACAACACAACCACAACTAACTGGCAGTCTGGCATAGCTTTAAAGTCTCAAGCCAACTTCCACATGATAAATGATTGTATCAATACAACTAGTGGCAAATGTAAACTGAAAGACAAAACTGTGTTGATGTAATACATTTTAGTAATTCATGAGGAAATTGTGAAATTAAATGCATAACATTTTTCAGTGCACAACATAAATGTTTAGAAAAACATAAATAAATGATTATAGCTGACTCGTTTTCATAGTTAACTCATCTTACCATTGAATAGCCTACTTCGTAATGTAGCTCACGGAGTAGCACTGCTGAAGGGACCCAGTACAAGTTCACTCGTCTGTGTGCTCAGCAAATGATTATTAAATGCAGCATCATCAGACTCTTATAACTGATTTGTAACTACCCTGATGGCAGATTTTCACCATCAAGCACAATCATGATGGCTGACTGTCACACTCTCCATAACTGGGATGGCCAGAAGGGTGGCCGTTCTTCATGCTAGGATGGCACTGGCCACCTCTGGCCATACCTTGGCTATGCCTCAGGTGTGTGTGTGTGTGTGTGTGTGTGTGTGTGTGTGTGTGTGCATTAGAGTGTGTGAGTGTGTGTGAAGTAAAAAAGTGCTGGCTAGAAACATTAAACAGTAATAATGCGTCTATTCACCAGGCCTGAGGTGATGAATGCTAGTTGTTTAATATTGTATTGTATGTGTGTGTGTGTGTGTGTAGATGATGGTAAGTGAATTGACATGCATGACAGAGGTGTTTGCATGAGTGTGTAACAGTGATGACTGTTTGTCTGTAATTGTTCAGCTATGCAGCAAGTTTTGGACAACCTGGGGGAGCTGCCCACCTCCACTGGGGCCAAAGACATTGACCTGATCTTCCTTAAAGGCATCATGGAGAGCCCCATTGTTCGCTCTCTCGCCAAGGTAACACACACAAGCACACATGCCTGCAATACTGCTTATTGTTCTTTTTATTAGTAGTGTCTTAATGACTCTTGATTTTTTCTTGAATCTTGATTCAGGGCTATCACCATCTGAATAATCTACCAATTATTATAATGATTAATCAGATAATTGAGCTTCAAACCATACATAAAGTCTTATTGTAAAGTGGTATCTGCATTTTCATCATACAAACTGCAAACTGATCACTGAGAAGATCCTGACAGCTCATCTTTGGTATCCTCTCTGGCTAATGGTCAGCAATGGCCTGTTACTTTTACAAGGTGGATGTGATTGACAGGAGAAGCTAAACCTTAGTGTATGTGTGTTTAGGCTCACGAGCGTTTGGAGGATGTGAAGCTGGAGGCAGTGCAAGAGAATAATGTGGAGTTGGTGAGTGAGATTTTGGGGGACATCCGTGGGCTGAGTGTACGTGACGACAGTGCTGCAGAACTTTCCAGAATCCTCCAAGAGCCTCACTTTCAGGTACACATCTAAACTTAGGTTACATCTGTACTTTAAAAAATTCTCTTCTCTTCTCTTCTCTTCTCTTCTCTTCTCTTCTCTTCTCACCATTCAAGTTTCTCTCACCAACTCTTACTCTATGTCTCAGTCTCTCTTGGAGGCCCATGACATGGTGGCATCAAAATGCTATGAGGCTCCGCCCCCTTTAGAGATGGCCAACGACGCTGCAGTAAACAACGCTCTCATGCAGGCAGACGCTGTTAGAATGATCGGCATCCGAAAGAAAGCGGGAGAGCCTCTAGTGAGTTGTGCTTTTACTGCCAGATCATCCGAATGTGCTGTAATACTCAGGTTAAATATAAATAATACCATTGATACTTACAAGACTTATGATCTATTTAAACCTAACGCAGTAACAGAGATAATAATAAGCTAAATATTTGAAACCTTTTTTGCATTTTAATGCTTTTTTGTTAAAGATTTTTTTGATTTCTTATTGATTTCAAAGTGCAGTTGAAAGATTTAGATTGTTTAGTATTTTAATTTTTAACTTAAAAAAATTGTAAAAAATGCTGTCCCATGTTTTCATGTCACTACTGACACACAGAGTTTTAGTCCATAGGCAGAGTCTTATTTTAGCCACACCCCTGGATTTTAGAGCAGGAAATAAGACTTCACCCCTGTCCCTCATGGCCACATGGTGAACAGTTAGATTCCATTGTTTTGAAGCAAGTGTGCCACAAAGTTTGAAAATCAGTGTATTACATTAAAATTGTTACTATTGAAACACATATTTTCTGCTAGTAACTATTTTTTTGTGTTGTAATGAAAAATATTATGATTTCTAGTCATGTACTGGCTACCATTCTTAAATTCAAAATTACATAGAATTGTCACTACTAAAACATTTGGTAAAGTTTCAGTAACATTGTGATTGTTCTGTTAGTGACAAAATGGAATGTTAAATCATTTATTTTAATGAAATAAGCATAATTAAGGTATAGTGTCTTTCAAGTCAAAAGGATTTCAAAAGGATTCTATGTCCAAGTCAGTTAAAGGTCGAAGATGATTAAAATGAGTACTTTTTTAGAGGAATCTTTGCTCGCCTCATCACCACCATTCGCACTTACTGTCACACACATCTACAGTCACCCACCCAGCAGGACCATAGACAGGACTGCTGATATTTCTAGTACATAGTTTATTGGCTAACAGAGGATCAGTCAAGTTTACAGACAGTTGGCAACACAGAAAACAAAAAAATTAAAAACCCACATTCAATGTGTGTGTGTATATGTGTGTGTGTGTGTGTGTGTGTGTGTGTGTGTGTGTGTGTGTCTATCTTTGTGTCTCAGGGTGTTACGTTCCGGGTGGAGAAAGATGACCTGGTGATTGCTCGGATTCTGCATGGAGGGATGATTGACAGGCAGGGGCTGCTGCATGTGGGTGACATCATCAAGGAGGTCAATGGGAAGGAAGTAGGCAGCAACCCCACAGAGCTGCAGGACATGCTGAAGGAATGCAGCGGAGGAATCACCCTCAAAATACTGCCCAGCTACAGAGACGCTCCATCCCCTCCACAGGTACAACAGCACTTTACTCACACACAGCACATTACATTACAACAGTTCAATTTGATTATCATTTAAAAAAAACATGATTACATGCATCATGAAATCTCACTTCTTCACCACAATGCCATTTGATTATTCTTAAAATGATTATTCTTAACTCAGACTCGGCTACTATAAAGTCTTGATCTCAACTCGGACTCAACTGCTACAAAGCCTTGGTCTTAACTTAGACTTGGCTGCTACAAAGTCTTGGCCTTAACTTGGACTTGACTACAACAAACTCTTGGTCTTGATTCAGACTCAAAGTATCCAGGCCTCGGCGCACGGACTCGACACGGATTCGACTTCTACAAAGTCTCAGCCTTGACTTAGACTCACCTCTAATGGACTACAACACTATTACTAATTGTAACACAGAACTGTAACACCGCACACATGCATACTGCCAGCACAGCCACTGAGCTGGTGATATCCCAGGATGCTATGTGCTCGAAAGTGATCCCTGTTAATAACACTCCACATGCTATCTGGGGCAGAACACACTATCGCTCACTCACACACGGACAGACTCACACACGCCCACTCTTTCTTGCTCACTGTCTCGTTCTCCTGGATTTTGAACTTAAATTATATGAAAGTAGGGCTGAGTATCAGATATATTGCATTAATGGAAGCAAGATTGTTCTTATCTATTAGCTGATAAATCCAACCCTCACTGATTTAAACCTGTCTCACTGAACTTCATTTGCCCTTTCCATCTAAATGGCATAAAACAGATGGAATGTTGGCTGCACAGTTGTAGTGTTACAACATCTGATTGAGAGAGAGAGAGTGTGTGTGTGTGTGTGTGTGTGTGTGTGTGTGTGTGTATGTGTGTGTGTGGGAAGGGAGGGGTTTAGCCCTTGAATTGCCCAAGCAGCTGGTGTTCACACTGACTTGTCACTCAGACCCAGAAAATGTGAATGCATCCCACTGTTCCTCTCAGATTCTTAATGCAGAACTTCAGAATGGAGTGGATTAAGATTTTATGGACTGATGAGTCTAAATGTAATTTGTAATTGCTTGATAGTGTGAAGCAAAAAATGTAACTGACTTCTAGACTGAACTTTGGAGGTGTGGAAAAAGATCCCTGCAATTTTTTTTTGAAACACTGAAAGCAACTCTGCCAACAGTGGAAGCTATAATAAAGTATAGAAATAAATAAAGATTAGACACACTAAATACGGAAAAAGTTGATTTAGTTGTTAAGGCTTCTGTTTAATTTTCTGTCCACTGTAAGTTTTCTGCTTTTTTCCTGACACTGATAAATATTTAACTGAATGGCCATTTTGTCTGGAAATGTAATAAATGAACCAAAATGTCAACCCACATACAGACCCTTAGAGTTTGTAGAGTTAGTCATAGACAGTATTGGGTGATTAATGATGTGTCTGCTTCTGACTGACAGGTTTATGTGCAGCCACACTTCGACTACAATCCAGCCAATGACAATCTGATCCCCTGCAAAGAGGCAGGGCTTGCCTTCAAAAGGGGAGACATTCTCCAGATAGTCAACAGAGAGGACCCAAACTGGTGGCAGGTGTGATTTTGCATTCATTTGTAATTGTTTATTTGGGTTCGAGTCATGATGTTTCATTGGATGATTGTAATGATTGATAGGCATGTCACATGGTGGGAGGAGCTACAGGACTCATTCCCAGTCAGTTTTTGGAGGAGAAGAGGAAAGCTTTTGTTCCAAAGGACTTTGACGGAACAGGTACAGTAAGCTTGCATGAAAAAGTCATATACTAGAATATGTTGTCAGTATATTGCAAAATATAAACAAAATGTATTCTATTGCATTTTCAGTATAATTTATGTTTGGGGTAACAATGTGCATATACACATTCTAGTGCCCATATATAGTGGGTTATATCATAATACATAGAGTACCGTATATACGTGCACACCCAGAAAGTGTAAAACACCTTGTAAACGTTTAGAGATCACTGGCTCCATGTACAGAGTGTATGCAGTGCCTCTGATGGTCAAATGGAGGAATCACAGGCTTTTTTTCTCCGTCACTGTCAGGAATCTTGTGTGGAACAGTGAGTGGTAGATGATGTACCTCACTGCTAAGAACGCAGGTGAGCTGCCCTACATTTTGATCTCCAGTCATAATCTCAGTGTTATCACCTGCTGTTTTGATTGGGTAAATGTTTTCTCTTGTGGTGTCCATGTTTCTGGTGGCTGGAGTGCAGAGTTTGACCGGCATGAGCTGCAGATTTATGAGGAGGTGGCATGTATGCCCCCATTCCAGAGGAAAACGCTGATTCTGATCGGAGCCCAGGGAGTGGGCCGCCGCAGCCTGAAGAACCGACTGATGGTGCTGCATCCCACACGCTATGGAACCACAGTACCATGTGAGTATACACAGTCAAGACCTAAACACTTTTTTCTTAAATGAAAGCACAAGACCTCCAGCCAAATGTTTGCCTCTACATGTATCCCCGCAAGTTTACTTTAATTTACTTCATTCAAATATCCACAAGAGTAAAGTGCATTGCATCAACTCAAAGTGGTCTTTCTTAATTTTGACAAAACCATTCAACTATTGAGATTTCAATTAAAGTCATTCTGAGCGTTTTGTCTGTTCTTTACAATGGTACTGATAGGGACCAGGGGTCATGATGTCTACAACACAAAATAACCATTTTATCTACTATCTAAAATTACCAGTGAACATACACATATCTGAGTTTTATATACAATAAATGAACACCATTAAAGTTTTTAAAAAATATGTTTTAGGCCAAAAACTCTAGCAGTACTGCTGTGTCTGATCCACTCGTACCAGCACAACACACACTAACACACCACCACCATGTCAGTGTTACTGCAGTGCTGAAAATGATCCACCACCCAAATAGTACCTGCTCTGTGAGGGTCCATGGGGGTCCTGACCACTGAAGAACAGGGTAAAAGGGGGCTAACAAAGTACACAGAGAAACAGATGGACTACAGTCTGTAATTGTAGAACTACAGAGTGCACCTATATAGTAAGTGGAGCTGATAAAATGGACAATGAGCGTAGAAACAAGGAGGTGGTCATAATGTTATGCCTGATCAGTGGATATCACTACTTCAAATGTATCAAATTGAAATCAGGTGCACCCAGTCTTGGAGGAACTTACCTTTAATATTATTATTTTAATATTATTATTTAACTCTCAGATATCTGGTCTGGTTTACTCTTTGTTATTGGAGTGTGTGGTATCATCATGCCTAGATAAAAAGAACTCTCTGAGGCCTTCGTAAAGAAATTTGTAGATGCCTGTGAGTCTGGAATGGGATTTAAGAGCTATCCAGAATATTGGAAATCAATCATTCTACTGTCCAGAAGATCATCTACAAGTGGAGAAGTGCCAACTTGTGCAGGCCAGGCCGCCCCAGCAAATTGATCCTAAGCGCAGCTCCTGCGGCAGGAGAAAGCCTTTGCTGTCTAAAAAGAACATCAGGGCAAGACTAAAGTTTGCTAATGAATGTTTAGGCAAAGACCAGGACTCCTGGAGCAATGTGCTATGGACAGACAAGTCAAAGATAGAGTTGTTTGGCCACAGTACCAGAAGTTTGGTGAAAACCAAAGACAGTATTTGATCAGAGGAGCCTCATACCAACTGTAAACATGGTGGTAGAAATGCTATGGTTTGTAGCTGCTTTTCAGCCTCAGGGCCTGGCCTACTTGCAACTATAGAATCATCTATGAATTTTCTTTCGTAAGAAAGTGCTTGAAGAGAATGTGAGACCGTCTGTAAAAAAAAAGTTAATGCTGAAGAAGTGGACCTTCAACAGGATAATGATCCCAAGTTAATCTACCTAGGAATGACTCAAAAGGATGAAACAGAGGGTTGTGGAATCACAGCCAGTCAAAGCCCAGATCTGAATTGCATTGAAATGCAGCGGGGGGGATTTGAAACAAGCTGTGCATGCAAGAAACCCCTCAAACATTGCACAGTTGAAAGAATTCTGCATGGAGGAATGGGCAAAAAATTTCTTCCAGTAGATGCCAGAAACTGGTAAGCAGTTATAGGAAACACATAATAATAATCACATATGTCAAAAAAAGAAAAACATTTCATGAGGTGTATTTTAGCCTGTACTGCACGTTCTGGCACGTAAACCCACAAAATGTTAGAAACAGGCTTGAGGGAACAAAATAAAATGCAAGAAGTCAGTAGAATACAGACTGTTTACATATGTTATTGTCTCAGTCACGTCTCGGAGGCCAAGGGAGGACGAGCGTGATGGTCAGACTTATCAGTTTGTGACGCGTCTGGAGATGGAGATGGACATCAAGGCCGGACGTTTCTTGGAACATGGCGAGTATGATGGCAATCTGTATGGCACCAAGATAGAGTCCATCCATGAGGTGGTCAACACCAGACGCACCTGCATCCTGGACGTCAACCCTCAGGTCTGACTGAGCACCTCCACCGTTCATAGATAAGAACAAACAGCCACTCTTTTTAACATTTAAGGCTGCTATGTTACCTTTAGTGATTTATCAATGATACACTCTTTGTACCAATTTTAAACATATGCCAATCTGTTGTTTTAATGTTTAAATTTCATACAATCAGCTTGAACAAAATAGATTTACTTACAATCTTATGTTCAATATGCTGTATATGTTTGTCATCATTAGCTGACCTGAACTTCGACAGATTTTTAACATTGCTGACTGGCTCATATCACAGAAATTTGATCCCTACTATCTGGAGTGCCACTGTCCCACTCATGTCATAATTCCTGTTCTCGAGAGGATGAGTTCCTCTTGTGAGTTTCGGTTCCTCTCAAGGTTGTTGCATGCATTCTCCAACAAAAAATAACATTGTAGGGGAGAGTGGGGCCCAACATTTTCCCCCGCGTTAGTTTGTGCCCTCCAGGACCAAAGTTCTCCCTGTTCTAAAGATTCCCTACAATCACACATGTATGGCACACCAAACAAATGCTTGGGTTTGTTGGTGTGTGTTGGGTTGGTGTTCTTTAGGCTTCAGTGTTTTTTCCTCATGCTCTCAGAGTGTTTTTCATGTCTCTACTACCCTTGGTTTGCCAATTAGGGGGGCTTATTCATGCTTATTTGCTGTAATGTTTTCCTCCTGTCTCTCTGTGCAGGCTCTGAAACTGCTGAAAACAGCAGAGTTTATGCCATATGTCGTGTTCATCGCAGCTCCTGAATTCGATACACTGAAAGCCATGCACAAAGCTGTCGTTGATGCTGGAATCACCACCAAACAGCTCACAGTAAATCCAAATTAGTACTAATTATTCTAGCAATTGAACTTTTCTTTAATCCCTTCCTGAAATCAGGTATATAGACCTACATTTATGGACCAGTTCCACCAAATATGAATCTCATATGTCCTATTGGCCACTAAAGTGATTCTGAGTTGAACCAACACCGAGTCACAGATTTTTCCTCTCTTTCAGGATGTGGACCTGAAGAAGACGGTGGATGAAAGCGCTCGTATCCAACGCGCATACAGACACTATTTTGACCTCACCATCGTCAACGACAACCTAGATGCTGCGTTTGAAAAGCTGCAGGCTGCTTTAGACAAACTGTGTACAGAACCGCAGTGGGTCCCTGTCAACTGGGTGTACTGAAGACACCTTAGTCCAGACCAGGGCACGTGGGAGTGCGTGATTGAGTGAGTGTGATTGTGTGAACTGTCACAGAGGTGATGTAAGTCGGGCTAAGGGAAGTAAGGGACTGACCAACCTTGCATCCTCTTTTCAGCTTCCTTCAAGCTCTGCTCTCTCTTTGTGCACACAATGCAGTTTTTTCTACTCAAACTCAAAGGGAAGGGTACTTATTTATTTTGATATTTGTACATTTTCAAGGAGAACTTTCTATTCGCTCCATCTTGGAATTCAAAAAAAGGACGAAAAAAAACTGGCCATGAAGATTCGGAGGCCATATTTTTTAATTTTTTTAATTTATTATTTTGGTTCATTTTTGTGTGCAATTATTTTGTCCCATATTTCTTTGGCTGTTTTTGTTGTTGCTCCTACACTATTTCTTTTGTTTTATACTCAGATAAAGGATTGTAATGAGGAGTGTAATAGACGAGGGCTTTAATAGAACACAATGGTTGTAATTTAATTTCTGTACTTTTGCACTTAGAGATCAGACCAACTCTTAGACAAAGCCCTCTAAGTGCAAAAGCATGGAAATTGAGAAATGGCCACTGAGTGTAGTTCCTGGCACCAAGAACCTGTTTACAAAAACCTGAACCTTTTAAACTGTGTTTCCACTAGAAATGTTGTGTTTTGCCACATATCCACAATATAAATGTGTTGTAAAGATTTAAATCCCATGTACAAAACCGATATCACTGTCTACATTTAGTTACATACAGCCTATTTTGTTTCTTACTTTTAATTCACTGACTTTGTGTCTGTGTTTTTTATTTTAAATTTTAAAAAACATGTTTATTAATATCTGTTAAGTACTTTTTTTTAAGCAGCATTGGTTTGTTATGACCATGTCTTTTATCTGTAGAAAAACTTATCGTGTTTGCCACTGTCATAAAATGCCCCATGACCTGTCAAGCAAAATTTGTCAGTGTTTTTTCATTAGCGTTGAACTTTATGTCAACAAGACCCCTGAGGGAAAGCAAAAAACATACAGAACATTTTATTCATTTTTCCACAGTGGTCTTAATACCTCAGATTTTTTTTCAATGGTTTGTCCACTGAGTCCCCTATTAAAACAAGAACTTTAAACAAATTCAGACATTTTAGAGCTTTCATACAGTATAAAGTGATTTTGAACATTGAATTACTTGTAGGGCTAAAGCAATTACAACTAATATCTATGCCATACTTCATTGTGCGTGCTTATAAAACACAATGCAATCATAAATGGCAGCAAATGGATTTTTATTTTTTCTCTGTAAATGCTACACATGCATGAAATGAAGATACATAATACGAACTAACAAAGAACACAAAAATTAACAGGAATAAATGAACATGAATATCAATACAGTTCAAATAGGCTATATAAAAATGCGAACATTGACACATTTAGTACACTATAAATAAAAGCTACAGGCATAATGTTCTTGGTATATTAATAAAAACAAATGAATCATATGAATGAATTTCTATGTCATACTATGTAACTGTAAAAGGCAAATAATTCTGAGTTACAGTCTCAGGAGATATAAAAGCAGTGGTCAGCTTATAGCTACAATAAGGAGCATTACATATAGTCATATGCAAAAGGTTGCTTGGTTGCCCCAAAAGTTATGGCTCATGTCCAATTAGCAAATAGATAAATAGAAATTGTGCTCTAAAATCTGTACAAATTTCACTAAAAAATCCTAAACCTACCCAAAACCTAATTTGACAGGGCGTGCTTATACTTTTGCATATGACTGTATATGTTTTAGCAGAGGTTTGCTAGTTGCACTACACTGATTCCTGACTGTAGATTTTAAACAATATAAGTATTACACAAACAATAAAGGATAGAAAATATATAGATAGATTATATTTGACACAAGTAAGCAAAGATGAGCAAAGTAATTTTTTATGGTGCATCTACAATAACATGAATAAATACATTACAACAGAAGCATTGAATACAAAGGCACTAGTATAACCTTATTTCAAATATCTCAATCAAGCTTCATTGTACTTCATTCACTAGAAACAATAATAAACCTGGCATAAAACATTTTTTGCAACATTGTGTACAGCACATGTTTTACGTAAATATATTAAGGTTTACATTTAAGAAAGTTATGCAAGCAGTAACAAATCGTTTAAACTCATTCATATCATTTAAAACTCAGAAAACATAAATTAGAAATTAGGAAAGAATTGACCACTCTATTAATAGTCTTTGTATTTTTGTATTTTGAGAACCAAGTGTTTGCTTTGAGAACTAACTGTACTAAATTATAACATGACATGAGATATATTTTTAAAAAAATGTTTTAGCTTTTAGTAAAAGGTTAATAAATATATTGAAAAAGACACTGAAATGTCATGAGTCAGATTTTTTATTGAGAGACTAATACAATTTGTAAGTAACATTATTAGTAGCCACAGTACACAGTGGCTGTGTGATTGTAAATATAGGCCATTTTTCGTTGTAAATATAGGCCACAATCTGATCTGTCTCTTCATGCTCTCTAATATTTTCATCCTCACCCTCTGGGAGAGCATGTTCTACCTCCCCCAAATCAGTGTCTGCTCTGATAGCCGTTATCAAGACCAATTGTACCAGGCATGAGTTCTCGCGCCAGTGCTGTCTGCAGGTGCTTGCATTACTTGCTGCTTCTATTATTTAAGCAATACTGTGGTGATCAACATGTCTGGTCAAGGTAAGACTGCAGAAATTCTAAATCATGCTCAGAGAGAGAATTCTTACTGAAGAGAGAAACAGTGTCAATCACCAACTGCATTTCTCTGGGTCAAGTCTCTCTCTCTCACTCTCTCTCTCCTACACATTCTGTCTGTCTACACATTCATCTGGTAAAGTTCAGGTAGCATTCTTTATGCATGTCTGTTTCTTCAAAAGCTTTTATATAGCAGCAGCTTAACTATAAAGTGTGACTACATCACACAAATACTGTTAATAAATCCATCAGTTAGCCTTAAACACACAAAAACAAATACACATAAAATATATAAAGGCAAAAAAAATAAAGTAAATAAGTGTATTATATAAAACATTGCTATGTAGGAAAGAGATATGGTTTTCTTAAGCATATAAACCATTACTAAAGCTAATATCCCATACAGAAAAGTACAGGAGAGTAGCTTAAAATGTGTATAAAATATAAGCAGTGTGCTTTAATACATTTATAAAGTTCATTTTGAATGCATCTATGTCTGGGCCTCACTCAGGTATGCAAGGCCATGGATGACTATGCACAGCATTAGAGGGAGGTGTTCACAGCAGCTTTCTGTCTCTGCCCAGAGCTTTTTCTCTCTCTTCAGCATGACTTTGGATGAGCTGAAGAGCGTGTTCACCTTCAGGAACACATCTTCATTCTGCAGGGGAGATGGCAGACTGTTGATGGGGAGAGGCTGTGAATCTTCAGTCAGAAGATTCACCTGACAAAGCAGAGCAGAATGTGTCTCAGTTAAGGCCTTAAAGCTGGACCAAACTGCAATTACAAGGAACATTCACAGGAACATAGCAGTAGCCCCACTGCCTGCTTGCAAAGAACCCTGAGATCATGTAAAGGAATGGTCCAGCAATTTCTCTCAAAATAAATGTATGTTTTCTTTGTTTCCTTTTTTAGGTCAATTGTGTGCTTCTAAATTAAGATGCAGTGCAAAATTTACAAGACTATAGGAGTGACAATACTTTTACATCAGGCACTACCTCAACTACCTCAAGCAAATGGGTTTCTCATTATTTATTGATATTGTCTTGTGTAACCTATAACCTAACTTTACTTTGAATTATTTTGAATCTTTGTAGTTGTCACAAACTTCACGTTCTGGACCTGTGTGGTTATGCACATGGTTAGGCCATGCGCTTCTGCTTGTTTTTCTATTCTAGCTCCATCTTTGCTTCACCCACTCATTATCACATACCTGCATTTCTGGACTCATTACCTCCCACATATATACTCCATTGTTTGTCACTGCCCTGTCACTATGAGGTCTCTGTTATATTAAGTTGGTTTTCTTAGTTTGTGTTTTTTTAAGTCATTATTTTCTTCACTTTGTTTGAATGTGTATATGCCTACTTGTTTCCTGAGCTAGGATTTCTACTCTGAGGCTGACAAGCATAAAAAACATGAATTCAATGTGAACTATGAATATTTTAATATATTATCAGAAAACTTCTAGCACATAATTGCTTTTTTAACCTATTATTTTATTATTTCATCAATATTTATTACAGTTATACATGTTCCTGAGGGGGAGGAATGTGGAAAGTGGTGATGTAAAGAAACGCATCATTCCCAGCAATAATCAAGCAACTGAAGAGTGGTGAAATTAGATATTAGATAATGTGTTCAGATGAGATTTTGCCACAAGATAGCAACAACAGTAATAGTCATTTTATTATCACTGAACAAGTGGAATATTAGAGTGCACTATCTTGTTTTATGCCCCTGAATGCACAACTTGTGATGTTTCTTATTTTAGAACCACATTCTTTTCACAAGTCTGAGAAAATCTGGAAAAATATTGGACTATTCATTTAACATTAAGAAATTTCACTGCCTCTAAGTAAGTGTAAGTATTGCAAATCAAGTAGATACCAGACTTACTAAATCATTTAACCCATTGAGAACTTCTGAAAAGCAGAGGCTTTCTAGCAAGATGAGTCCATCGTTGGTCAGTCCTAAACACAGTAACATAATACATAACAAGAAAAATTTATCAACACTGACTACATCTAAAAAGATCCTTCTTATGTAATAACATATATAAATTCACCCTCACCCTCAGCAGCAGTGACGAGCATGTGCGTGGCAGTCAAGACTGACTGGCTGTGCTTGGTCAGCTTTATCGAAGCTCCATTTTGACTGGACTGAGCCAAGTGAGAACCATTCTGATCTGTCCTTTTAGAGGAGGAGCCATTCAAATAAGACGCCACTGATGATGTTCCATTGTAATTAGTTCCATTCTTATTAGCTGATGTATGGGCCCCATTAGGACATGACAATGCAGATGGGGATCCATTTTGGCTGATGGGTGTAGTGGACAGCTTCTCATCTGTACTGCTTCTCAGAGGCTGTAGCTGGTCCAGAAAAGTGTCAATAAGCTCGTTTGAGTCATCACCCTGAGCAAGGCAAGAAGCCTCGCCGGCTCGTAACATGAAGAGTAAGTCTTCCAGCTTGGAGAGAAGAGAGAAAAAAGGGGAAACAGAGTAAATTTTATCCGTATTTCAGACATGCATATACTTCCACATGAGCCTTCAGTAATGTTTTCCACTTTTTCTTGTCGTGTTATCGCTCACCTTGTCTTCCAAAGTTGATAGAAGTGCTCGGTTCTTTAGAATCTTTCGGAACATGAACAGAATGGACGAGCGAGACTGAGCTGGCAAATGAGCCAACACAAGCAGACTAGCCTTTACACCTGATAGCACTGTAGCAAAATGAAAACAACACACACACAGATATAAACATGTGTAATGCTTAGGGCCTATCAGGTTAACATGCAACTTAAAGTGGATTTTTCAAACAATTTGACTAATTGAATGACTAAAATGTAAACAAAGTCATTCAGAGTGGTTTGAAGCAAGAGTTTTTTTTCTAGAGAAACTTAGCAGATCAGAACTGTTTACAGTGGTGGTGACAGGAACCAGAGAACAGAAGAGGAGTTTAATGCCTCTAAAAGCTACCTCACAAAAAAGGAAACAGTTGCCTTGTGCCTGAGACACTGTTTAATGACAGCTTTGAGATATTGTGGCCTAAAAGGCTTTTTTAAAATACATATATTGTGAAGAGGTATATGCAGGGTGCTGTAATAGTAATACAAAATAGTATACAAAGATTTTTTTTTTCAGATTTAACACTTCATTACTTTTATTACATTATATGTAAAAGCTCAGTGTACATGTGCTATATTTGTAGACATCACAAACTTCTTAAGTCTGAAATCTTTTCTTATCTGTTTAGTCACCATGACTTAATTTAGGACTGAATTTAGTACAGTAGCTATTACAAAACAACAGTTCTTAAGTTCATAATCTTATTCTAACTCCAGATAAAAAACAGTATTGCAGAAACACCGTAACTAAGCTTAATTTCCTAAGTTCTGTCTTAACTTTAAGACAACCCCAGAGCTGTCTTAACTCTGTTTTAACCATCTCTTTCTATTGTTTTATGCAGCGCTAAAATATTATAGTGATGGTGGTGAATAATGAGGACACGCTGAATGCGTTCCTGTTTATTAGAAGGAATAACATTAGCACTGTTGGCTTACACGTTTGGAAAGGTGAAACTGAAACCTGGGGAGCAGCGACGCTCCAACAAACTGCATGATGTGCTGCAATAAAATTTTATTTTACTGTTCACAGCAATAACAGTAGCTGTCTGGCTAACAAACTTCATTATTTTGATTATGCGGTTACATTTTCAGATGTGCATGTATGGCCGGTTGCTAATAACAGGCATGACAGTTGATTGTCGACAGTTGATTAGGTTTTCTAACTTAAGACAAGATGCAGTGAGATAACATCAGATTCCTAAATAAAGAAGATTTGCTTCTGTAATACAAAATTTATACAAATACAAGCCTGTCAGATCTTAACTTAAGACAAAAAGACAGGATATGGTCTTTACATGAAAAGAGGCACTTGTTGGTTTAGGTTTGAACGACAGTCTGAAATTGCTACTGAAAAAAAGGAAGAAGGTAAGGCAATAGCTTGGCAATCCAACTTTTCAAACAGACACACACCTTCCCTCAGGACACTCAGTGAAGAGCCCTCTGGTATTTTTGGTAATGCCGGTAAACCGTCCACTTGTTCCTCACTGTGAAGTGAAGGCTTAGTAAAGTCATCATCCGATTCAAATCCATCAGGGTATGCAGAAAGTTCTGAACACATAAACAAACCACAGATTATGTACGAATTTTGTAGGCGTGCAGTTTCTTCCTGTGATAGTCCATATTAAAATAGTTTTCAACAGTAAGAACACAGACACACCACTAACCATAGTGGCCGTCACTTTTAATGTCCAGACTTGTGACATTGTAAGCCAAGACAGTCTGTGGAGGTATCTCAATGGCAACATTTGTATCATACTGCAGACTGCTGCTCTCTTTCAGACACACCTGAAAAAGCATAAATGCACAAGCACAGACAAATCATAACTTCAGAAAAACAGCAGCATCTCTAATTTAGAGAATTTTTTTACTACACCATGATTATTTCTCAATACCTTTTCAATGAAGACAAAAGTGAGTATAGTAAATCAAACACATATCAGACATACTAAATCATTTCACCCATGGGGTACCTGGGCACTCATGCTTAGGGCTGTTAAGGTGTCCCTAATGTAGACTTTTCTGACATGTACTCAGGTCACAGGTGCTTGTCTGCTCATCTAGGAGTACCCCTTGTCCTGCTCATTTTAGTACTTTCCTGCTTTACAGGTATGCTACCTGACTCAATTTCAACAAGGTAGGGAAAATATCTTTTTGCGAGCGGTTGGGCCGATTTTTTACATACATCAGGCACATGTTTATTTTCTAATGAGTATTTTTTTATTGAGTTGATTAGTGTTTAATTGAAAGAGTATGCCAATATAAATTTTACACATGGCCATGGTTTCTCTTGTGCACTCTCATCTCTCTCGCTGTCTCTGTTGTAAAGTTATTGTCTATAGCTGAGTTTAGAATAGCTCCAGAGTTTGAGTAGTGGGTGCCCATGAATGAAACAAGGGATGAAGCTCCATGGATGATGAGATGTGTAGGGCTGGTGGAAAAGCCATAACGGATCTTTCCCCTTGCTTGTTAAGCTTGCGCGAAGAACGTTACGCATTTCTGCGAGTAGCAGCAGTAGCAGGAGGAACTTTAGCACAGCATGGTTAAGAGTTAATCAGAAGAGGGTGAATGCTGTTGTCTGCCAAGTATGATCAGAAATTCCATGAAAAATATATTGATAATAAGTACTTTTAATACTAGTTTATCCCAGAATGACATTTGCTGGTGAATTCAAGCACTTAGTAGCAAAGCAAAATGCTGTGTACAACTGTATTAGTGCATGCAAATGGGGTTGGGTCAGGTTTCAGCTTTAGCTGTACCAGTCTGGCCTGATCAGGTCATGTCTTAAAGTCATGGGTACAGGTTGGGTTTGGCTTCAGTTTCATTCACATCCACTAGCCCAAGCACATTCACTTCAAGTCAAGAAGGCTTTGTTAGTTTGGTTAGAGCCGTGAAAACACAAAATGTGCAGGGTAGGAAGTGGAGTGGTAAACTGTGGTCTATGTTATCAATGAACTACTCCACTCAGACATCCCTCAAAGACATACCTCTGCAGGATGAAAGCCTAAGGCTTTTAGCATGGTGCTGCAGCCACCCTCTTCCACACCACTGTACTCAATGGTGCAATCACAGGTGGTGAAGATCCGTTCAATCAATACAGTGAAGGCCTGTTGAGTTTTGCCCCATGTCTGCTCAATGAGTTTGTGCTCACAGTCCACCTTCCTATAGGCCAGGAACCACACAACCATTACAAAGAGCACTTATGTGAAGGTACTACTGCAAGTTCAAAATCCTTTTTAAATGAAGCTATCCTTATTTAATTTTGTAGCATCTTCAGTGACTGCAGACAAATTTATTAAAGAATGGAATACAAAAAATCACTTAGTTTGTGCACAAGTGTAACACAACAAGTAAAAGGTTAGGAAATTTGTCAGTATTCAATGAATCAGGGTTCTACGCGTCTGTGTAAACCACTTAAACACAGGCTATAATATTTGCATGGACATATTATCAGTTAAGCAGAAGCTGTAAAACTAAAGTGTCCAACACAGTTTGGTGACTTCCCTGCTCAAACACTGCTGGGTTGAATGAGGTATGTTTAAGCAGGGAAATCACAAACTGCTGAAGTTAAAAAAGACACGGCAATAAGTCCAAAATACATTGCAGTCTGTAAGTAATTGACGGTAACAAATTTTGTTTGTACTCTAGCACACTGGATTTAAAAATGACTAACTTAGTTGTAACTAACTTAGCAAGTGTATGCTTTAATTTGAAGGTAGGTACGTCCATGTTGAATGAACCATGTACAAATTAGAACCCATTTGATAGAAGCACTAAGAAGCTAAGCCTTGTACCTACCAGTGTCTCCCAGATGTTGCCTTTGCTATCATGCTTCACCTTACCAGTACATACTTGTTTTTGAAAACACCATCTACCTCTGTGGTTGGCCATTCTAACTGTTCTGACTTTGACTCTTGGAAAACACCAAGCATTACACCAGAGTTGGTTCTAGATTTGACATTTACATCAGGAATCACTTGCTCAACATAAGGACAAAATAATTGTGAGCAACAACAAAGATGTGCATCAAATATGAAGAAAAGGCCCTTTTCAACTTTTCAAATCAAGAACAAGATGCCAGGACATTTATTAAATGTATCTGAGGATTCCAGTGTAATCTCAGATGGTTTACCACAATATGTAAACCACTGATATCCCTCAGAAAGCCCAGATTACAGCTGGTAAGAACTACATAAAAGGTCTTTAGAATTGGAACCTTGTATTAGACAATTAGACAAAGATTGTCTAATACAAGATTCCCAATGACATGGGAAATGTGGAGAAAAAACAAGAAACTGCTCATGATCTAAAGAAAACTACATCTTCTGTGAAACCCGGTGGCATAGCCATGTGTGGTTGCCAGTGGAACTGACTCAGTTATCTTTTTTGATAACACAACAGAATGAATTCTCAAGTGTACAAAAGCATCTTAACTGCTCAGATCCAACCAAAACTCATGGGGTGGCTTTTCAACTTGCAGCTAGTCAATGATGCAACTACATTTTCAAAGAAATTGTGGAATTTTTAGGGACTTGTAAAAGTAGAACTAAAAGTAGAAGTAAAAAGTAAAAAAGTAGAAGTAAAACTTTCTTGACTGATAGGGGTGCGGGAAAAAATCGATTCTTAGATGCATCACGATGCAGACGTGAACGATTCTGAATCGATTCACAAATGTCAAAAATCGATTTTCTAAATATTTAATTTATAACATAATGTTGACGGAACGCAAAAGGCGGAACTTGGAAGTGGGTAAGTGCAGCGCCCGGACACTCCGTGACGCACACATAACAAACACAAGTGGATAAGTGAGAAATCCGACCCGCTCCCTCTACATTAAAAGCCAGGTTAGATCAGGAGTCACAACACAAATATTTAGAAGAGCCATTTTGTCCTTTCAACAAAAATCAAACCACCTTGGGAGCCACAACATTTAATGTCCAGTATGTGATAATCTCCTAGTTTAGGCTAAAAAATATAAACGAAAACGCGGACTTACTCTACTCTGCTTTAAGCTTTAGCCATAGCCGCTTTTCTTCCAACTCCGCCAGAAAACTTTTCCTCAAAAGTTGAATAGTTTCTTGTAAAATGTCTCTCAGCGTTCCGCTGTTTTACAAGGCTGAAGTCGCTTCTCACTCGCCAGCTTCTTGCTGAACTTTCCCTTTCCACCTTAAATTCTGACTGAGGCACTGAAGGTAAATGCGGCACCATTTAAGGTGGAACGGGAAAATTAGAAAGAGAAGCGACTTCATCTTCACAACATTTTAGTGTTTGACAGTCTCTCGTTGCAGATTTAACGTACCAGGAAACCAACTACACTGCTTATAAATGTGAATAAGTCCATTCAGCTCCAAATGTTCGTCTTTCTCTTTTCCTTTTTCATTCGCTACTAGCTCGGCGAAACCTCGTTGCTATGTGACTTGCAGTCTGCACACGAGTTCTCAGTCGTTGCGAAACAGGGCTTTCGTGCACGCCCTCCCTATCACGAGACCAAACCCAAAGTTATAAAATCACTAAAGAAAACGGGAGGACGGCTATAATGTGCTGCGTGGACATCTATTACCACTGGATTTTGTTTCACCGTAACAGCGCATTTTATCACAGATGAGTGGCAGCAGCGTCTCCAAACAAGAGCAGTGAATGAGAGCCTTCTAGTTCACTTGCCACATCACTTCCATTTGATTAATTAATAAAATATATTGGACGTAAATGCATTATGGATCATTACAAATACTTTGCTTTAAAACTACCAAGGCCTCAGACAGTAAGAAAATAGAAATCATGTATAGAAAAAAAAAGATGCATCGAGATGCATTGATAATCGTTTTATAATCGCATCGCAGCCCTGTGAATTGTTATCGAATCGAATCGTGAGGTGCCTAAAGATTCCCAACCCTATTGACTGGTCAAGCCAACCACCTGACTCACCTACACTGACTAATCATTTCACTTACTAAGATCCGCTGAAACAAGCAGGAACTAAAAGTGGTTGTACTACAGGGCTGGTAGTCATCAACTCCAAATTACTGCAACCAAGTGTATTTCACTGGGAAGACATAATATGCACATCACGCTGCATGCATTGTTTTTTTCCTGACCTGCTTTTGGAGTCCTGTAGGAGCCTTTGCATGTTCACTTTTTCTTTGTGAAGCGTCCCAAGAGATGATGACAGCTTGGATGCACAGTGCCCCTGTGCTTTTACATTAAATCCCACTATCCCAGTGTCCATCGATCCACCAACAACACTTTCATGCTTCGCTTTGTACTTTAGGAACTCGGCTCCCTCCAGCTCTGTTAGATATATACATGCAAGCAAATTAAGAGATAAAACACAAGCAATCATGTTACTGAAAATTCTACTTTGAGAACAACTGATAAGTAGAGTGCCGGTGGAATGTGTTTTCTACTGGCTCAAATACAGACAATGCATAAATAAACATAAATACACACCTTAAAATTAATGAACAAGCAGTTATTATCCAACAGTGACCTGTTCTGTCTGATGACTAAGAATATCTGACAGGTTGAGTGCTTATTGATGAAGAAGACAAAGTAAGACAAGTAACCAGCAGGATCTGAGGTTTAACAGTATAGATGCATGTGGACTCACTATTTGACAAGCAAAAGGTCACTGCTGCCCTTTTTATTTGTGTTGTAACTGCATATTAATGATTTTAAGACATTTATGACCTAATACAAAACTATTAATACACTAATTTCCAACCAGTTATAAAACCTTTAAAAGGGTAGTCCTTTTGTAAAGTGGTACCAATATCAAAATGACTGAAAGGCATGATGTTCTTTACACATTCTTGAAGCAAGTGAGAGGCCTAACAAGAGGTGCATGGCTACATATTAGCAAATATATACTTGGAACTTGGTGATTCATAACCTGGTTAAACTATTCATGTGAGCCATTTGAAATTGTCTTTGGTGTTACAAATTCGAGCAGTGCTAACATTACATGGGACAAATGGACAGTAAAGGAAACGCATTGAAATTAAGATGAAGAGTAAATTTACTGTGTAAAAATGTTTTGTAACTTTCTTATTGTAAAAGGTTTGTGTTGTCCGTTATTAGCATTACTTTTTGACTGTTTGTTCAGTCTTTGTTTTTTCTCTCAGCACTGTCTCTTTACTTTGTTACTCCAAAACTTTGCCAACAAGCCAGTAGCAGTCTACTGTCAAGATCTTCTACAAATCCAAATTTTTGTTTACTTTTAGGTGTTAGAATAGTATCAGAAAACTTGAAAATGATGGTATTCCTAGAGAATTTCAAGTATTTCAACCCCCCAGAGCTTTTACAGAACATGCTACATTCTACCTGAAAAAAAACTTTGGCACTTTGGTGCCAAAGCCTAGTATCCTATAGCAGAGTATGTGTGTAGGTACCTGGTTCAATGCGTTCCCCTTGTAGCAGGTCATTAAGGGTGAAGGCTGTGGGTCTGTATTTGGTTCTCTGCCAGAACCACACTGCCGGTCGCTTTATAACAATACCCAGCGGCTTCAACTTTTCCGAATCATTCACTCGGGAAACAGCGATCAGACCTTTACCTTCATCAGTCTGGTGAAGCAGCCGGTGTGTGGCCTTTCCAAACATCTTCCACCCTAACAGACAGAGTTTTTTGTGAGGACTGCACTTGTTCTGGTGTGTTTTCACATCTTCCCTACAAGCATGTACAACATTTCCAAAAAAGTAGAGACCCTGCGCAAAATGTAAATAAAAACAAAATGCAATGATGTGCAAATCATTTAAACCCTATATTTCATTGAAAATTATTCAAAGACAACATATCAAATGTTGAAACTGAGAAATTTGATAGTTTTTTAAAAATATATGCCCAAATTTAAAAAAATTTGATTCCAGCAACAAGTTCCAAAAAATTTGGGACAGGGGCAACAAAAGGCTGGTAAAGTTGTGTAATGCTAAAAAAAAATAAAAAGACTTTAAAAAAGTGTATAAAAAGAGCATCCCAGGGAGTCTTTCAGAAGTAAAGATGAGGAGGGGTTCACCACTCTGTGAAAGACTGCATGGGCAAATAGTGCAACAATTCAAGAATAATGTTTCTCAACATAAAATAACAAACTTTGGCTTTTCATCACCTATGGTACATAATAACGCTAAACGATTCAGAGAATCTGGAGAAATCTCTGTATGTAAGGGACAAGACCAAAATTTAGTAGTATTTGCTGGTCATGATCTTTAAGCCCTCAGACGACCAGACATGATTCTGTAGTGGAAATCACTGCATGGGCTTAGAAACACTTCTGAAAACCAATGTCTGTGAAAACTTCGTTGCTGCATCCACAAATGCAAGTTAAAACTCTAAAATGCAAAGAAGAAACCACATATAAACAGGAACCAGAAACACCGCCACTTTCTCTGGGCCAGAGCTCATTTAAAATGGACTGAGGGGAAGTGGAAAGGTGTCATGTGGTCTGACGATTCAACATTTGAAATTCTTTTTGGAAATCGTGGACACTGTGTCCTCCAGGCTAAAAACCACTCAGCTTGTTATCAGTGCACAGTTCAAAAGCCAGTATTCATGATGGTACAGAGGTGCATTAGTGTACATGGCATTCGTGACGCGCACATCTGTGAAGGCACCATTAATGCTGAGCAATATATACAAGTTTTGGCAACATATGCTGCCATCCAGATGACGTCTTATTCAGGGAGGGCCTTGCTTATTTCAGCAAGATAATGTCAAACCACATTCTGCATGTATTACAACAGCAATGCTCCGTACTAAAAGAGTCCAGGTGTTAAACTGGCCTATCTGCAGTCCAGATCTGTCACCCACTGAAAACATTTGGCTCATTATGAAATGAAAAATATGACAAAGGAGACCCTGAACTGTTGAGCAGCTGAAATCCTACATCAAACAAGAATGGGAAAAACATTTCACTTTCAAAACTACAGCAGTTGGTCTCCTCAGTTCCCAAACGCTTACAGAGTGTTGTTAAGAGAAGAGGTGATGAAACACAGTGGTAAACATGCCCCTGTCCCAATGTCATGTTTTTGGAATGTGTTGTTGGCATCAAATTCAAAATGGGCATACATTTTTCCTAGTATTTGCGAATCATTGCATTTTGTTTTTATTTACATTTTGCACAACATCTCAACTTTTTTGGAAATGGGGTTGTAGAAAACCCCATTATAGTTACACCTTTTGATATACCATTTGAATGAAGTAACAAAATAATATTGTTTGTGTTCTTTCATTCATCAAGAAAACCAAAATCCTGAAACAGTTATGACATAAGCGTGTTCTGCCGGTAAAGTCCCTTATCTGAGAAACTCTGTGACATTTCCCTTTTCCCGCACACTATGGAAAAAAACTCTCCCAACTGCACCCAAAAACATGTTCATGTGTGTGCGCAAACACAAATGCACACATCCAGGGTTAAGCCTGCTAATTTGACTACAGTCATAAACAAACCATTATGAGTTACAGTTTCTCTGAAAGAGGTGAGGTGAGAACAAACATGGAGGGAGAGAAAGCAGATGGGTTACTGCAGATATGGTATGAAACATTTGCCCTACAAATCAGTCTAACAGTGATCAAACAATGAGGGACAAATCTAGATGAGTCATTAAGAAACTGAGTGCTGGTAAAATACCGAAAAAGTAGGCTAGCATCAGCTATCTAATCCTTTATATGTGGTTGAGTTTTAAGAAAGCTCTGGAACTCCCCTTGTCCTCCAAAGTTCAGGGCACTTACAGCATTATTCTGGTAAGCTGTCTACTGATTTAAGACACATGTTCAGGTTTTGAACAGAGGTTGCGACTTCTCAACGTCTGTTTGAAGGCTGACTACTATAATTAACTATCTGTTTATTGTGTTCTTGAGGTGCACTTGAATGATGATCGCTGGCAGGTACATCTGAATGACGCATGGAGCCGCAGATCCTACAGCATGTCTCACTGTGAAAAACAGCAACCTAATGTTGGTCCTGGAAAGAAAGCTTGCATAAAATCCTACATAACATTTCGAAGCTGAACACAAATATACTTTTAACAACATTTAACAGTTTTCTAATAGAACTCCAGTCATGTCAGAGGCTGTCTGAGGTAGTGAAAAATTGTGGTAATTTAATTCTTTATTTTATCCTATCTAACTTACAGCCTAACAGTCATATAAAAGTGATGGACAGCCCTGAAGATATTAAAGATGTTAGCTCTCTTTATTAAAGCCCTTATCAACAGAAGATAGCAAGCAAGATCTTTCAAATTTTCACACACTGTGAAAATCTCTTGTTCTCATAACTTTACCTCTTTGGTCAAGTTAACTTTGACTCCCAGTGTGTCCAAATAACCTGTTTTTGCTATGCGGTTTTCAGGTCAAAAAGCCTCCTCACTCAGGTCCTTATAGAACTGCAGTTGCACTTCTTAATACACCTAATTATCAGAAATGGAACTTAAGTTATTTAGGCTATATTCTTCTCCTTTCGTGGTATTTTGGCCTGAAATGAAATGATGAAGCTCGAAAGTGAGAGGAGTGAGTGACGGCAAAAGCAGTCCAAACGCAGCGCCCAGCAACACGGAATTAAATATAACACAAACCAAGTGAAGAGAAGAGGCTGAAAATTAGACTCCTCTCCTCAAATATAAGTTTTTCTAAACTATATGTATTATAACTATCTGTCATCTGACTTGAAAAGTCGCTTGAAGATACAGAGAAAAGTACAAATCCACCAAGTATAAGAAATTTGAGGGAATTCAAACAGTTAACTCTCCTTCTCTGGCAACAGTTATATGATTATTTAGCCGAGTTACCTCGATGTGCTGCTCAGATGCTGACACGGTGCAGAAAATGGTGAGCAGAAACCGCTGCGCTCTTCAGTAGGTCGATAATAGAGAACCGAAAGCTCACAGGCCGGTGCCGCTGAGCACCAACAAACACAGCAAAACCGCTAACGCTACTTTCTCCGGCAGGGAAAGCGGGATGTTCGGCTGTTGCTCAAATGACGAAATAACTGCGTGTGACCGAATAAAAACGTGCAGCCCGTCCGCACTCGGAGCATCACACCGAGGGGCATCAGAGCTGTATGTCAGAGAAAAGGCGGGGAAAAGACCGCCTCTCTCTGCAGCCATTGGTCGGTTGAGGTGTCCGTCAACGCAGAGGCGGGAAGTACGGCCTCTTGCGCACTTGTTTTTTTTCCCCTATTTTTTTACATTTTTTTCCTTAATCAGAGTCATATGAAGGGAGTCATGTGCGGACTTGTTCTGAGACTTGAACTGGTTTGTGGGAATGGAAAGCAAAAAACAGACATTACTTGTGCCCTAACAAATTTTCCGCTGCTCTGTAAAGCTGAGTATGTTTACCAGTAGACAGTAAACATATGAAAGAAAAACATGTAAAACAAGCATAATCGACTCTGTTGTCCTCCACCATGAAGGACCTAGCCCACCATGTAAAAGCAACTAACTACCATATAAAGTTAGACAATTCAAGTATGTGGGAGGGTTTTTTTTTTTGGTTACAGGGAGATGTGCCTATAGTATTGTCATCGAAAGAGTGAAATACTTATAGCACCTCTGAGAGCACTCCCTTGCTCTGAGAGAAGCTGACTGAAGAGAGGAAGCTGTGGTTTTGTTATTTCTGCTGCCAACCAAGCACAGCTAGAAAGAACTGGTAGCCATGAGCACAAAACATGAACTATGCGGTATTTATGACATGGATTCCAGGATTATAACATCATGCCACTGAGCAGCCTCACACTTCCACTGGCTGGTGGAAGAGGTATCTGGTTCAGCGGCTCTTGAGACAGCGAACATTATGTGGAAATAATTTATGTGGAATTAATTTGACAACTCAAAAACGGAAAAAGTGTTGCTTACATACGTAACGGTACTTGGTCAGCATGCGGTAGATCAGAAAGGAGGAGAGGACAGAATAGTGGAGGTCTGTGTTTGTGTTTAAGTAAAATAAGAGGCATTCCTATTTATTCTATCTGTTCATGAAGTGGTTAGTATGGCACCGCAGTAAGACCACTCAGAGCCCTGTTACTCAGAGGTTGAGACACTTTTTCCTGTTACACCGCTAAACAGGTCACAGGAAGGAAAATAGCAATCTCACTGCAGTATGTTTTTTTTCTTCAGGTGACGTCATACTATGTGATAATCATTCACGTCGAAAGGTTTCACACTGAAGCAGTGAGATGGAGTGGATGCACAGGACAAGAAATCAGCTTTACACTCCTCACCCCACCCACCTACCACTGTCAACTAAGACAGGCATGACAAACATGCAATAATATACAGACCCTATTTGTACTCCTATCTTTGTGGGGTATTTCCATTGACTGTGCAGTAACCTCTCAGTAACCTCTTTCACATTTTACAAATAAACGCTACATTATTTTGAGAACCAACCAAATGTCCTCACAAATGTCAGAATGTCCATGTTTTCCATCTTTCTTGGGACCTTTAGTCCCAACCAAGGGCTAAATACATGCACAACACACAAACATGCAGATACGTTCCACATCAGATCAATAAACTGGTACAGTATGTTTAATACCAAACTGTGTAACAGTTTTTATTAGAATTTCATTTCATTGTGATTCATGTCACACAGATTATTCTTCTTGAAAATAAGAAAAACGGTGATAACTCTTTGGCATCATGGGTATATGTTGGAGGTGAGGTTGTTTCAGACTTCTAAACATTCAGACTCAAACAGATGTTTTGATTAGACAGCAAATAACATGTTTGTATTACATGTGCAAATAGTTCAAAAATGCTGATTGTAGTTTTGAAGCATAAACTGAATTTCTTGCTAAAACAGAAGAGAGCTAGGAAAGAATGCTGACTAGTGTTTTATGAGCTTTTTACAGACAACAGATCTGTATTTGGAGTTAGCTGGTATTTCTCTCTAATCAGATTTGGAACACAAGAACTCTGATGGCACTTTTTATGTTATTGTAGTTAGGTGTGCTTCAAAACATCACAGAAATATTACACCCAGAAATGTACCATACAAACACAAATGTATGTAAATGTACTTATCAAATACATTTGAAAATGTACGAAAATAGCCAAAATACTTCTCTAATGCACTTTACTGTTCTGAATACCTTTTGAAATGAATTTGTATTCCAGTATCTTCATTTCAACTACTAGCAAATTAACCTTTAACATGGCAAAGGCAAAGCTGTAGGTAGTGATACACTGTGAACATACAGTTATGATTTGATGTCTTGCTTATTTGGAATACATTTTGTGTGAGTGTCTTACTGCATATGTACATGGTTAATGCAAAGTACAATGCAAAACACAGAAGTCAGTATCATTCCTTGCGTTCATGTATATTTAGCTATATTTGTAACCTTTGTTAAAACTACATACACCAAACATAAATAAGGGTATTTTAAAAAATAAACAAAACAAAAATTCACAAAAACAATGTTGGCCATTTTCATACATTGCAATATATATCTGATAAACATAATTATAAAATACATTTAAAATTAATTTTAGAAATATATTTAATAAATACATTTTTGGCCATTTTTATACATTGCAAAAATATATTTGATAAATACATTTGGAATATATTTTTTTCCATATGGGTACAATGTGGGTAAAGCCCCTGTCTAGTCATTTTCATGAATTTCTTCTAACTATTATCTGTAGTGAGCTGGCAGAGAAAGAAGTTTTTTCTGATGAGAGATTTTTGGAATTACATCTCCCACCGTTTTCTTCTGTTTGATATAATTGGGCGAGACTACATTTGGTGCAGACGACATCAAATCGGAGTTAGCAACATACATACATTAGCAACTCATGCTCCACTCCTGCTGCTCCGAGTCCCAGACAAAACTCACAGCAAGCAGGTTATTTAAGATTTTCTGCATTAAACAGTGCTTTTTCTGTAGGTTTTTTATACCATTGCTTGTAGCATAGCTAGATGCAGCTTCCTACTTGCGTTAGCCACCTGTTGTAGGATCATACTTTATTTGTGAGAGCTGGATAGCAGCAGCTCCAAATTTTGGGAGCATTTATCTACTATTAAATTGTATTAATTTATATATATATATTTCTTAAAGATAACACTGGTAAACACTGCACCATATCTTTACTACTAAAACAACAATTAAAACATAACCAACAAAACTAGACACTCAGAAACTAAAAATCAGACAAAAGCAAATTTGCCATAGCATTTTTTAAAACTGTATTCTTTGTGTATTTACATAGTATAAGTCTATTTGTTTCATTATTTATTTTTCAGAAATCATTCTAATAATTTATTCATCAATATTAGTCCAGTTACAAAGAACTGAAGTAAGGGCACCTATTGAATAAACAATGTGATTTTTCCCAAATCAAAGGTATTATGCAGAAAGCACAAATCATTTCTTCAAATTCATTTCTGTTCTACTGTAAATACCAAAGCATGTTTACTATTTTTGTTTATCTGTTATGTCTCTGGATGCTGTTGGTGTTTCATGTTGAATGAGACCACACTGCTAACAGCACTTATTCTCCCTTTTCATATATATAAAACAACTGTAAAACTGCCTGAAGGCCGGTGTGCAGACAACAGCTTTAGTTTGCAAATATATGAGCAGAAAGGCTTCTTGATGGCAGTGTATACTGGGCTGAGGAATGTTCTTTAAGTGTCTGTGCAAAGGAAATGAGGATATTTTAGCATACATTATAGGCCAAAGGTTTGGAAACAACACTAACTTTGGAGGAGTAAACAATCAAGAGGTAATGGATAATAATATGTTAATTAAGGCTGGAGGAGGTGATTTTGTAGAAACCAAGAAGTGTAAGGTAGTTTTTGAAAAAAATCAAAATTAAAAAATCCTGCTCCCTTTTTCAGCCAAACTTCCAAAGCAACTCTCCCAAAACACGTGAATGCGCACTACAGCGCAGACATTGTCGAATAATATACACACACACAGATTACATACAAGATAAACATAGCTAGGTAGTTTACATCTTCTACTTAGCTAACATTAGCACTGGACTAATACATAATGTAGCTACATTAGTAGCTAGCTGTATTGACTACATAATTCAGAAACAGAACAAACCAGATAAACCTGCCTAACCTTGGAGTCGCTTTCCAGCCCTTTCAACTCCCTCAGGCTTCACCAACGTTGGAAAGCCACACCGATGTTCACTCTGGTTTGACCTCTTGCATTATCCAATCTATTTTTGTTCAAAGACGTTCTACTTCTGTCCTTCTCTTCTTTCTTTCATTAGTGGTGCAAGCTGTTGTAGGTCCTTGTATAACTTTCTGTGCCATTCTTGTGAATCTAGCATGCTACCTTTCTAGGTGTGTGTGTGTGTAGACTGTATGACGAACTCCGCACATGTGCATGTGGGCAGGTCGTGAGACAGGTAGGCAGAGAGGCACGTAGGCCATCCAATCATTTCATTGAGTCTGAATGATTTTTTTACAGTCCTGTGGCCTCCACAGATAATATTTTTTTACTGTCAGATCATTTGACTTATTGATTGCTATCGGGATGTAAAGAGTATTTCAAGATATATAACAAAAATGTTTCTAAAATTAATCACCTACTCCACCTTTAACATAGATCAAAAAGGTTTAACTAATAGTTTGCAGCAATAGTACACAACTGATTCTTCATTAGTTTTTCTTTTAGTGATTCTGCTGCAGGGTTTAACCAACTGTAATCAAATCAAGCTGATTCCCACATTCAGATGCTCCTGAAGGCTTGATGAACTGAATCAGGTGTGTGAAATATACAGCTTGCAAATATTGCTGCTTAACCAAAGCTCTCAAGTCAGAATTTCCAACCAGAGTATGTGTGTGGAGTGGAGCAGCAGACATTTCCACTCATCGCTTAAAGTGTTCTGTAATCACACCGCTCCAACTTCGCTCCAAATGATTCTTGATGTCTTGATGAAAGTAAAAAAATATACATTTTTGCGTTTTTTGTCAGGTATAGGCTTGACAGCCAATCACAAGGCAGAAAACTGCCAAGTATAAACATGCATGTGCTTTAAACAGTTCTGCAGTGCCAACGCTGTGTATGAATGTCCATCGTGTGCGAGCTATAGCAATCACTCATGTCATGCAGAGGTACTAAGTGTGGAAAAAAAGGAATGGCTTGTAGGATAGAGCAGTACTGAAGCGATTTCAGAGTGAGAGAGAACACTGGCACTCTAATTTTCTAAAAGGCCCCTCCACACTCTGGACAAAATCACGCTCCACTCCCTGCTCCACTCCCACTCTGCACCACTCACAAGTGTCCCCAACTCTGAGTTCGGTATTACACTTCATATCGACATGGCTGTTCTGTCTGTCAACAGTAGTGAAGTACTACGTTTCTGCTTCTAATTGAGTTTATGGTAGTATTTGCTTTAGATCATTCAACTTACTGTAGTTAATGAAATCTATTACATAAATACAACAAATACAAATAAAATCTATTAAAGTTTGCTTTTCAAAAACAACTTTTGGGTTAAATTAGAGGTCAAATAGCATATGTTCACTGAAGGCAAATTGACTTTATTGTGAAATCTATGTAAAATATTAAAAAGTCACTGTTTGCTTCCATACTTTTGGCCTGTAGAATAAGTGAAAAGGCTTTGAAAGTCAGTGTTTAAGTACCAGTTCACTTAGAGGAAACAATCCCATATTTGGTTACAGCAGAGGTGAGCAGTGCAGGGGGAAGTCCTGTTTGGTCACCACAACAAAGGAAAATCCAGTTTGCTGAAGCCAGGATCTTTCCTTAACTCCCAGTAAGTGCCATTGCTGACCCATGAGTCATCTTCTGCTCGCCTGCCAAAAAAAAGAAAGTTTTGAAAAATACAGAATTGTGCAAAACAAACCCACACCTACAAAAACACACGGCAGCACTTGTCTACAGTGGTTACACACTTGAAGAATCGAGGCGTGTGTGTCATGTTGTTCTCCTGTAGAATTTTCCTCCTCTCTCTCTGGAGCGCCTCTATCCTCTCTTTCTGTTCTTCCGCTCCTGTGATGTTCCCCTCCTCCAGTAACCTGCGACAGTGTCATACGTGCCATTCACCACGTTATGTAAACTGAGTTTGCATTTAATTTGAATTAAACACTGTCAGTATACTGTATTATTGTGCTCAAACAGCAAATGTGCTGACACCTGCTTTGATCTGAAGATGATCTATAACGAGTAGTAATATGTGTGAACGTGTGTGTTTTTATCATTTTTTAGAACAAAAAAACTCATATTTATCCCCACCACAGATTCCATGTCTACAAGCTATAGTTTTAGCAAGTTGTTGAGGATATCTACTTTTTTTGTACATGACACAAGCAATTTTTCCAACAAATGTTTACAAACAGATTATTTCACTTATAATTCACTATATCACAATTCCAGTGGGTCAGAGGTTTACAAACACCAAGTTGACTGGACCTTGGAAAACTCCAGGAAACGACATTATGAGTTTAGAAGCTTCTGATCGGCTAATTGATGTCATTTGAATTCACTGGAGGTGTACCTGTGGCAGTATTTTAAGGCTTACCTTCAAGGCCTATTTGCCTCTTTGCTTGACATCACGGCAAAATCAAAAGAAATTAGCCCACACATCAGAAAAAGAATTGTGGACCTTCACAAGTCCAGTACATCATTGTGAGCAATTTTCAAATGTCTGAAAGTACCACGTTTATCTGTTCAAATGATAATATGCAAGTTTAGACACCATGGGACCACACAGCCATCATACTGTTCCGGAAGGAGATGCATTCTGTCTTCTAGAGATTAACATACTTTGGTGCAAAAAATATGAATCAATCCAAGAACAGCAGCAAATGACCTTGTGAGGATGCTGGAGGAAACAGCTGCAAAAGTGTCAATATTAACAGTAAAACGTGTCCTATATTGACATGATCTGAAAGGGCGGTCAGCAAGGAAGAAGCTACTGCTCCAAAACTCCCATAAAAAAGCCAGGTTACAGTTCTTACTTTTCGAGAAATGTCCTCTGGTCTGATGAAACAAAAATGAAACTGTTTGGCTATTGTTGTGTATCGTTACATATGAAGGAAAAAGGGGGTGGCTTTCAAGGCAAAGAACACAATCCCAACCGTGAAGCATGGGGGTGGCAGCATCATGTTGTGGGGGTGCTTTGCTGCAGGAAGGACTGGTGCACTTCACAAAATAGATGTCATTATGAGGAAGGAATATCATGTGGAGATATTGAAGCAACATCTCAAGACATTAGCCAGGAGGTTAAAGCTTGGGCGCAAATGGGTCTTCCAAATGGACAACAAGCATACTTCCAAAGTTGAGGCAAAATGGCTCAAGGACAAGAGAATGTAATAAGGTGGCCATCGCAAAGCCCTGACCTCAATCCCATAGAAAATTTATGGGCACAACTGAAAAAGCATGTGCAAGCAAGGAGGTCTACAAATCTGAGTTACACCAGTTCTGTCAAGAGGAATAATCCAAAAGTCCAGCAACTTATTATAAGAAGCTTGTGAAACGCTACCCGAAACATTTGACCCAAACAATTTAAAGACAATGCTACCAAATACTAACCATGTTTGTGTACTTCTGAGCCACTGGGAATGTGATGAAAGAAATATAAGCAGAAATAAATCATTGTCTCCAGTATTACTCTGAGATTTCACATACTTAAAATATAGTAGAGATCCTAACTGAACTTAGAGAATGAATGTATCCTTGGATAAAATGTCAGGAACTGTGAAAAACGTGAGTTTTAATGAATGTGGCTAAGGTGTATGTAAACTTATGACTTCAACTGTAGGTGGTTATTATCATCATTGTCATGACAAAACCAACAATCTCCATTGTTGTCTTTTTTAATGTAATTTGAAAATGCCAGCTGCCCTTTACATTGTGTAAACATTTCAAGAAGAATGGACCAAAGGAAATGAGCCAAAATCACTTACATTAACTTGCATAAAATGTTAAGAATGATTTTTTTCTCTTCTCCTATAAAATTACTCTTTTATGGATACAAGATTTTGTTCCAACAGTGACAATACAGTACAAGTATAAGACAATACAAGTACAGTACTGTGCAAAAGTCAAAGACCACCCTTCATTTTATTTAGTTTCCAGTCCACACACTCTTTATCAATTAAAAACTTATCAATTCTTAGTGTCAAGAATAAAGCAGAAGACACATATTAAATAGAAAATTATAAAGAAGCCTCAACAACTGATTATAATATGATTTTGTTTCAGTATTTAGCGTATTCACCCGTTGCCTTTCTCTTTACCTTCCATTCATTTTGTGAGACTTGTTTTCAGTTTTTGAGGGATATTTTTCTACATTAAAGTTCAGTCTTAGAAGTTGGTTGCATTTTTTGCTTCTCATGATCCAAGCAATACCAAACAAACACATTAAATGGTGTTGAGGTGTGGAGGGTTCATTCAGTGGTCAGTTCATTGTTCTTAGAACACCAGCCACTTCTTTGTTTCATCTGCAAATTTTCTTTTCTCAGTAACAGCTCCTTAACAGCTACACATCCTTTTAGACTCATAGTGTATGAGTATATAAGTATGAGCACATTTTAAGTACTTTATGCCACGTGAAATGCAGCCTCTACAGACAGTTCTGTCTATGGACATGTATCAATAAAGCTTTTTCATTCAAAATAGCATGATGTGCACACGAATACTGAGCAAAAACACTGAGAATCTGTGCTCCAGCAGCTTTGCTAACTTGTTCCACACTGTCCACTGAACTAAAACTAGGCAGTGATATGCACTGTTAGGATGAAACAGGCTCTTTATGGCGTATTTTACAAAGACAACGTAAAAATGTAGCATATTAACAATTATACCCCGCAATTCTATTCAGTCTGAGTAAAGTTAGGCATATACAGTCTTTGATTGCAAAGTTTTTGCTTCCGTTTTGTTAGCCTACGTGTGTCCACCAGTATTGGGGAAGTGGCTGTGATTGTGTTTGTATGCGTTTAAAAATGGGCTATGATTGCACAGTGTATGTCTGGCGGGAATATGCCAAGGTGGAATGTTTAAAGTGACCAACGACTTTGTGTCTGACTATCACAGCATCAGCAACACTTTGCCCTGTGAGCAGACCCTCGTTCACTTGTTCATTAGCGTGGCAGTGTACAAGTATACACTAAGCTTATGTCACAGGGTATCTGGTGGAATCAGTGCATTTTTATGAGCATGAACATGAGCAAATGAGCACAGTATCAGGTGGGTACTGATGCATCCCTAGTGTTCTCACAATGGAATACTGAACCGAAACACAATGGGTTTTTTCAGATCTGAAGCGAGAGTGAAACTCAATTTTCTCCTATCTCTCAAAAGATGAAAGCTTATCTGATGGTGGTTGTCAAGAGTCCCATTTTCTCTTTGTCTTTTAATAATTCTTTAAACTCTATTCCTTATGCAGATGGATTATCTTATATCTAATCTCCTCAAATATATCTCCTGAAAAATGAATAACTTGTACTAAATGTTTTTGACTGAAAATTAAATAAATAAAGTGTGGTCTCTTGCACCGTACTGTATGCACTATACTGTACTGTGGAAAAACAAATCAATATGTACAGTTTTCATGTTTATATACCTCTGGTCTGGTCTGAAGCGTGTATCTGTTTGGGGTAAGAAAGGTCTGATGCTCTCATCCAACTCATTCAACTCAATTGCAAAATGAGTAAATCCATAGTACTGCTCGTAGTCCTCTGGCATGGGGTCTACACACACAAACATTTACAGCATTTTTATCTGCTCTCATCCAAAGTGACATACAGTTTGATTGTTTTACAGACATAGGCAAAGATAACATTAGGAGTCTTGCCAAAGGACTCTTATCAGTATAGTGGAGATCAAACCTCAGCCTGCAGAATGCGTCGCAGAGGTCTTACCCACTACACTGTACCAACCGCAAGTCCATACAGTGAGCAACTGTTATCCAGGAAAGACCTGTCGGTGAGCATCTGCATTTAAAGGTATTTTCATCTGGCTAGGAAGCTGGAATTTTCATAATTATACAGATATACAGATAACTCATCTTAGCACTTACTATTTAGTTAATTAGGTATTCCAAAAAGGCATATGTGGGCTATAATGTATCTAAGCAGAGTTGTATTTAGAAATATTTGTACAAAGTAAAGCTTTGTACAAAGTAAAGCCGTGTGACTCCAACATTACAGTTTAGAATCATGGTTTGAAAAATTCAATCAATGTTTTCAATAAAATAAAAAATATTTAATAAAGCCAGTTTGCTTGCTAATGCATGTGTGAAGTGATTCTAATATGCCAGTACTGAGCTACTTCACAGATTTCTAATTAGTAGGAATCTGTAAAAAAAAAAGACTTAGTTTTACATTCAGAATGATTCACAGAAATGTAGAATACTCTAAAATCACTGAAACTGTACCACACTGAAAATGTAGTTGTAGTAAAATTAACACTCAGAATGCTCTGTATTTTAAAGGTAGTGACAAAATGTTATATTTAAATCTACACTGTATAGGTTGTTACTGAATAAAATAATAACTGTTAATATGACAAGTGACGCCAAAGTTTTGAACAGTAGTGTATGCTTAAACCACAAAGATAAAATGCTAAATCAGTGCAAGCTGATCACCTCTTAATGCTAGCTGTAAGCAATCGATAAAAGTTAAACCTTACACATTTATGTTTTTATTCACAACAACATAAAACATTTTGGGATATTTGAATATTTAGACATTTGAACAGCAAAACAGTTCAATTGTCCATCCCTAATAGGTGCTCACTCACTTGCTCTCCAGATGCAGATGGCTGAGGGAGGGTCTCCAAGATACAAAGCCTCGTTCCATTTACCAAAGATCGAATGAACCACACGCCCCTCAGCATCTGTAACCACTGCCTCCACCTTGTTAGTGTTTGGACCTCTAGAACTTGACTGAGACAAAAAAAAATACAAAGCCACAACAATAAATTAATAAAGTATGGACAGATGGAAAGGACAAATGATCCCAAACACAAAGGCACAAAACTGTTGTAAATAATCAACAGAAAATAGAGAAATCAGAAAAGATACATAAACAAATAATAATAAAACAAAAATAAATTTTTCCAACATAATGTCAGTTATACTACACTCCACCTGTGGGAGCTAAAGGGTCAGCAAAAAAAAATCACCTCTAAGGCATTTTTACAGTGGCACTGGAAACACAGCAAAATAGCCAACAAAAGCTACAGCACAAATTTACAGATGTAAAATAAATGAAGCCTAGAATTGGTAAATAGAACTGGTTTAAAAAAACTCCTAGGTAAAGAACTTACTGATTGTCAGAAATTTCTCTCTAGTCTGTAAACAGTTCTAAGTGATTAAAACACATCTAAGACCAGCATGACTGCTTAAATATCAGCTCAGAACTCCATATGTACAGTACCTTGCAAAAGTCTTTGGCCATTTGATAAAATTAGACTTAAGGCTATTTATCTGTGAGTTTGTTTTACAGTATTAATGTATATATGGTGTTTTTTACAAGCAAAAACACATCTACCGCCCACTTGTAATTATTTTGCAGACTTTGGCACAGTACTGTGTTTTTCTAGAGAATATGTAAGAAAGTTTATGTGTACCTTAAAGAAGGTGACTTTGCAAAGGCCAGTGCTTTCTGCAGAAGCTGTGTTTTTGATGGTCATCTCGCCGTAGTGTTCTATCCAACGCTGACCACTTAAGATGTTGTGGATGCAGGATGTAACCCTGTTCAACTCATAATGATCTCCAAACCTGAGAGAGAGAAAGAGAGACAGAGAGAGAGAGAGAGATTGTTGTGAAATGTCTTTTACCCCTAATTCGCTCATTTCTAAGATAGGTCACATTTATTAAGCATTTAATATGCCAAACATTGTGCCTAAACATTATAACAGTTGCAAACTTTCCACATAAATTTCTTTTATTTTAATGACAAGTAAAAAACCTGACCATCTTTTTTATACACATATATTTAAAAAAAAAATGCAGGGAACCCAATCCAAATGCCCATATCATGTTAAAGCTAGAGATCTCCAAAGAGGCTATCCAAAAGAGAAAATCCAACAAGCCTGGTTGAGGGTCAGTTGTACAAACTTATGCACTTAATGCCAAGAGGACTTCAAGCTGTCATCCAAAAAAGGGATATGCACCAGAATAAACAAACAACTAAAATAAACAAACCACAAAGTACTAACCTACATAAAGAGGCACTATGTTTGTCCAAATAATATACTTTTACTTGCCCTACGCAAGTTTTCAGTTAATTATGAGGGTCATTTTGAGTTTTAGTTAGTAAATCTGGTCATTATCTCTGATTTTAAAGCTTTTCTGATGGACAACATTGAATAAATGAAAAGCTTGGACAGTAATAAATCAGCAAGACATAAATTGTAGACTGTCTCAAGACAATTACTATTACTGTTTATACAGTACTGCTCAAAGGTCTAAGGCACTTAAGCATATCGTTTAAAATCATTTATCTCATCATTGTTTTTGTTATCATCTGTGTTTTTGCTTGTAAGACATCATATAATATTAAAATAAATGCAAGCAAATGTTAATGCAGTAAAAACTAATACGAATTTCTCATTTTCAAAAAGTAATTGATATCTTTTAAGATACTTAGAGGAACAAAAGATTTTTTTCTTTGCATGGATTGTACATACTTTTATACTGAGCTTGTACAATGTATTAAACACACCGGAACACTCTGGAACAATTGGAAGTTTATCTTATCTTATTAGAAAGAAAGGTGGGGTGGTTACCGTGGCAGCTCTATGTGGATGGTTCCCATGGGTAAGATTTCCATAGACTTGCCCCAAAATTTGTTTTTCCATCGGACATCTAAAATACAGACAGTCATATTTTCCATCAAAACACATTTTATCTTACACACACATTGTGTGTGTGTGTTTGCTGCACTCACCCTGCCACAGAGTGAAGTTTTTGGATTCGCAGTGACATGCAGACACAGGAGGGTGGTGGCTGACCTGAGGCACCCAGAAAGGCAAGTGAGTGTGCATTTGTGTGTGAAAGGCAGGCGGAGTAAGAATGAGCATGTGAATAAGTGTACCTGCTCGGAGATGAAGCGGAAGCCTTTATCCAAACGCTCACACTCATAGGTCTCCCCCAGTACGGGGTTAAAGGGTTTCATTTTTGCTCTGGTGAATGTGCACGCATAAGCTGACACTGCAAATGCTGCAACATACACCTACACACACACACACACACACACACACACACACACACACACACACACACACACACACACACGCACACACACACATACACACAACAGTCTGACAATAGTTGGAGACAATGCTGTTTTCCACAAGGCTAATTCTCTTTTATACAGGGCTAATGCAAATAATTAGATCTAAATGAAAGAAAAAAATGATGTAGATGTAGATGATCCTAAAATGAAGTTAGAATGATATTGTTATCCAGAATCAGAATGCCTAAAGTGATTGTATTTTTATGCAAAACATCATTTAATATCTTAATTAATAAGTGATATATATAACTGCAGTTCTACTGTTTTGTAAACATGGTGTTATTTATCATTTAATAACTCTTTGTTTTGAATAAAACATTTAAAAAATTACTTAATATCAAACCTATATCTATATCTATATAAATCTAATAATGCATACTTACCTATGACCTAATAACATATAGCATCTATAGAATCTAAATAATTCATAAATCATTAAAACATACATAAAATAACAAAAACATACTTAATACATCAACATACATAAAAATAAAACATACATAAAATAACAAAAACTTTTTATTGGTAGTGTTTGGCTTTTCTATCTATGTGTGTGTGTATGTTAAGGGCTGTAAAACTATTAATTTCTATAAGTTCACCAGTCATTCAAAGAAGTAGTTGAGTAGTCATTATTACCTTATTAAAAATAAGTGAGTGTTCTGAACAATTCTGGTTTTGGAACCTCCTCAGTAGTTTAGTTTAGTTTTACACAGTTTGCAGTGGAATTGGTTTCATCTCATGTAGTGTCTCCATACTAATATACCACTTTGGACTTTGTATTTAGCAGAAAAACTGACGTGTGGTTGTGTGTGTTCTCACCATGCGCATATGCGGGTCGTGTGTGTGTGCAGCAGTGTCCAGCAGGTGGCAGTACTCCATCTCCTCACCTAGTCGCTGTAATGTGTTGATGGGTTCGTTCAGCTGGACAGGCATGGACACCTTAGAGAGGTCTTTACCAATGTTTGAATAGAGAATGCTCCACAGATTCACACCCTCACTCATACACGCGCTGGGCAGCCGAGAGCGCCGAGACACCACGCTAACACTGGTGCTGCCTGGACACAGACACACATGACACAATGAAATAAACAATGAACACTCAATGATAAACACAAGAAATATACCTTTCTTAATAAATCCTGGAGTAAATACATGTTCTTGGTGTGTCACATGTTTTTCCTGTGAGCATGTGTATGTGTGTGTTTGTGGAGAATTTACCTTCATCCTCCTTCTCGGTCCCTGCCTCACTGGTGCAGAAGTCCACAGAGACATTATCACTGACATCACTTAAGCAGGAGTCGTTATCTGAGGCCTACACACACACAAATACTCATTGCTTATGTATGTTCTTTAAAAGAGAGTTTTTTTTACACCATTTAACACCAGCTGCCCTTGACATTGTGTGAAAACCTGATAATGCACCCTACAGAAATGGCACACATGACTAAATAAATAATAAAATCTTCATTTATTTATGCACACTGCAGTTAGGAATGTCTTTTTCTTCTTCTATAAGGTTTCCACTGTGAAGACAGGTGGTTTTGTCACGACACCGCTGACGTTTTGATGTAAAATACATGTGTCTGTCTGTGTCTGAACACATATACAAAATTCTTCAGTGGGCCCATGTGACACCGACCTCATTCTCAGAGGAGCTGGCAGACAGCAGGTACTCTTTCGCATCAAAAAACTCAGACAGCGACTCTGGGATTGACCCTCGAATCTCATTGGACACCTGCTGCAGTAGTGGGTGGTGCCCGTCCACCACATCCTGATTGGATTCAACATGAGATTTATTGTCATGTGTGTTCAAAAGAGCATACAATACAATACAATTCTTGTATTACTGCAGTGCACTCCTACAGATACAACAAAGCACAAGTGAGGGGGTACTGCACATATGAAAAAGCATTACACATATGGGACCGTACGTCAGACAATAATGGACAATGAAAAAGTAGCTAGGTCACCAACTAGTACAGATGTCTGGTACTGTTGAGTGAAGCAGAATAAGTGGAATAAACAACTAAAATAAACAAGAGGATGATTACATGCAAAACAAAATCAGGCGACTCGGAAGCTCACATTTCATCTACTAAAAAAAATTACAGTATGAGTCACATACCGCTTCATGGATGCTCTTTAATTCTAGAGTGTTTCTGACTCTGTCTCTCTCCGCACACAAAGAAGTGTAGGCAGACTTCAGGGTGGCATGGACTAGAGAGAGAGAGACAGAGAGAGAAGCAGAGGTAGAGATAAAGAGAAAGAGAGAAAAGAAACACACCCTTAACCCTCTCAACCATGTTAATCAGCCAAGATATATTTAGTATTCAACATTTGCTTCTTTATTTTGCACTGGAATGCAAAGCTTATGAAGCTAACAAGTAATGGAAGCTTATATTCATCAATTAGCATTTGTGCCTAAATTATCACATACATTCCAAAAAGTTGGACGCTCCTTTTCTTCTTTGGTCCCGAGAGCACAATGTCCATTATGTCCCCATTAAATTATTTGAAAGGCTGACCTATCAGACCACAGCACATATTTCCACTGTGCATCGGTCCATTTTAGATGAGTTGAGCCCAGAGAAGTCAGCGGCGTTTCTGAACGTTGTTGACATGTGGCTTGCACTGTGCATAGTACAGTCTTAACCTGCATTTGAGGATGCAGCGACAGATTGTGTTTATTTACAATGGTTTGTTGTTCCTGAGCCCATGTGACGATCTCCATCGCAAAAGTACGACCGTTTTTGATTCAGTGCTGTCAGAGGGGTTGAAGGTCAAGGGCAATTAGTTGTGGATCCCAACCTTGTCCTTTACGCAGAGTTTTCTCTGGATTCCTTGAATTTTTTGATATTATTATGCATTGTAGAGGCTGAAATACCTAAACCCCTTGCAATTGCTTGCTGAGGAACAAGTTCTTAAACTGCTGGCTTTTTTACTGACGTATTTTTGGCACAACCTATCCTCACTCATCAAGGACCCTGCCTTTTCACAATGTTTCTATCCTTAAAATGCCCCAACTTTTTTGGAATGTGTTGCAGGCATCACTTTCAGAATGAGTGTGTATAAAAGACAACGAAGTTGATAATGTAAAACATTACATATCTTGTACTAGTACAGGTCAAAGTAGATTTATGGATCATTTCACACAGTCCCAATTTTTTTAGAATTGAGGTCTGCATAATAATTGTGTGTGTATGGTTCAGCAAAGCTTAGCTTAACCTTGCCCCAAGAGAAGAGAATAAAGAGAAGAGAATAAAGAGAACTGATGGGTCTATTCTTGGTCCAGAAGGATGCATGTATCACCACAGAAAAATCCAGCCAAAGAAGCACTAATCTCTTTTAAAAAGCAACACATAACCAGAATGTTAATCAGTAGGGGCCACTAATAACTTGCTAAACCAGCTTTTTGTTATTGTAAAAACTGGGATTATGTGAGTGTCTGTGGAGCCCTTTTGGAGTAATAACTCATTCGTTCATAGTTAGTTAGTACTTAATTTAATACTTATACAGTGTCAAATATTGAGGGAAAACTCAGCTTTTGGCTATATATTATTATTAACATTATATGTGTTGTCAAGTTGATTCCAGCTCCAAGCATAATGTTTATTTCCAACAAATTGGTTGTTCTCAGAATATGTCCAAAATAAGATCTTCAGTGTGGTTATCCGGGTTTCAAGTGAGAAGTGAGACTTGATTTTGTCAAAGATTTGTCGATTTTTTTGTCTTCTTTGCTAACAGCAAAGTTTAAAGGCATAAATATTTTTCCTGTCTCACTTGTTTATTGTCCAGCCTTTGCATCCATAAAGAACTGCAGAGACGACCACAGCCTGGACAATTCTGATCATTATTTGTGGAGACAAATTTGCATTTGAAGATCTTTTCAAGGTCCTTTATCCTTGTTCTGCCACGTGCCAATTTGTGTCATATTTATCTGACCAAAAGTTGACAAAATAACTGGAACATACAATGATGGGCTGTTGAAAGTTCTATATTCTCAAGTTATAAAGTTATATTTACCGCTCATTACTAGCCCAAGTAATAAACCTCTCTATAATTTTGCACACCAATTTCCTCATACCTCCGTGCATCACACTTTCTCTCTGAGAACATGAACGAAATAGCTGTGTGTCTTATCTCTTGCTGATGTTTGCATACGGTACATGAGCGCAGTTGTGCTTTCGTGCTCTCGAAAAGTGGCCCTGAACACTATTTTTAGCTGTGAGCTTAATTTTTTAGTAGGCTTATCTAGTGAAACTCATTGCCTATTGCGCCCTCATGTCTACACTTACATACAAATGTACAAATGTTTCTTGACTTGAATGATGAACCCACCTACTCAGTGAAATGAAATCATATGAACTAACATTTTTTAACCAATAGTAGGGGTGGGAATCTCTAGGCATCTCACGATTCGATTCGATTACGATTCAGAGGGCTGCGATGCGATTATAGAGCGATTATCGATGCATCTTTTTTTTCTATACAGGATTTCTATTTTCTCACTGTCTGAGGACTTGGTAGTTTTAAAGCAAAGTATTTGCGTGCAGACTGCAGGGTCACATAGCAACGAGGTTTCGCCGAGCTAGTAGCGAACGACAAAGGAAAAGAGAAAGACAGACGAACATTTGGAGATAAATGGACTTATCCGCATTTATAAGCAGCACAGTTGGTTTCCTGGTACGTTAAATCTGCAACGAGAGACTGTCGAACACTAAAAAGTTGTGAAGATGAACTCGCTTCTCTTTCTAATTTTCTCGTTCCACCTTAAATGGTGCCGCATATACCTTCGGCGCCTCAGTCAGAATTTAAGGTGAAGCGGGAAAATTCGAACAAGAAGCTGGAGAGTAAGAAGTTACTTCAGCCTCGTAAAACAGTCGAACGCTTAGACAATAAACATTTTACAATAAGCTGATCTACTTTTGAGGAAAAGTTTTCTGGCGGAGTTGGAAGAAAAGCGGCTATGGCTAAAGCTTAAAGCAGAGCAGAGTAAGTCCGCGTTTTCATTTATATTTTTTAGCCTAAACTAGGAGATTATCACATACTGGACATTAAATGTTGTGGCTCCCAAGGTGGTTTGATTTTTGTTGAAAGGACAAAATGTTAACATTCGTGTTGTGACTCCTGACCTAACTTGGCTTTTAATGTACAGGGAGCCGGTCGGATTTCTCGCTCATCCAGTAGTGTTTTTGTTATGTGCCGTCACAGAATGTCCGGGCGTTGCACTTACCCACTTCCAAGTTCCGCCCTTTGCGTTCCGTCAACATTACGTTATAAATTAAACATTTAGAAAGTGGATTTTTGACATTTGTGAATCGATTCAGAATCGTTCACGTCTGCATTGCGATGCTTCTAAGAATCGATTTTTTCCCGCACCCCTAACCAATAGTATTATTTAAAGGTTACCTGTTAATTGGTTCATCATTTACATCCCTACGAGATATGATTCAATATTCAATATCTTCTGTGTTCAGTGAAAGAGTGAAAAATCTCAATGTTTAGAGGAACTCACTGGTGTTGGCCAGTCTGCAGAAGTTCTCTTGTAGCTGTGAAGCATCAGTGGGCGAGTCTGGGGTTTCTAGGTGGGGATCTGTGCTATTTGGCTCTGAATAGGTCAGATTTGGGTTTGAAACATGCAGGCGAGATGACTTAGAGCCAGAAGCCTGAGAGAGAAAGACAGCAACACCATATTTGTGCATGTGTAGAATGACTACTCACTCAGTGAACATTAACTTTGTGTTGGTTTGGCAATTAGGAAGAGCTTAATCATATGTGTGTTATTTCTGCACAAAATATATAACACAAAGCAGTGCCAAAAGTAAACAGAAAGACAAAATTCTGATAATGTAATATATTTCACTTATGTAGAAATAATGTACACATTTAAAGTAAATTAAATAAACTTCTTTCCAGTGAACTCTATGTATTTAATTGTAATGATAGTGAAAGGACGAGTGTATTTTTTACCTGCAGTGTGCTTTTGCCATGTTTCCTGTGACTTTTAGACTTCCACCTCTTGGGTCCTTTCTTGTCCTTCTTAGAACCTTCACTCTGTGATATAAGGCACACATGAAATTAGGTATACCGTATGCTCACTGTTAAAAAAAGACACACACTAAGAGGCAGATACACAAGCACACAACCTGTAGCGTGTTTATGGCAGGGGCAGAGAAAGTACGATGTAAGACCTCCATATTCTTCAGCAGCAGATTCAGCTCCAGCAGAGACAACTCACACTCTGATAGATCTATCAAAGCAAACCAAAAAGAGTTTAAGAAACAAGTGAGAGGTGCAGTAAGGATTACATGTGTGTTTGTTTTGCACATTTCCAGAACAAAAATATCCTGACTACACTGACTACTAAATGTGCCACAAAGGGTTCTTTGTGGGGAGCAATGCCATAGAAGAACTGCTTTTGGTTCTCTAAAGAACATTTGAAAAAGAGATGCGTGAGTGTGAAGAACTTATTGAAGTTTTAAAGAACCTTCATATAATGTAAAGGTTCTACACCAAGTTCTGGGCTATTCTTAGAACATTTACGTTATGTGCAAGTTCATTAAACTGTTTAAAAATGTTTTTAGCATCATACAAAGAACACTATTTGGTACCTATGTGTAGGTGTGACTTACAGTAGTAGGGCTACTGAAATGCTCCTGACCTTATAAAGTTCTTTGTGAGTGTAAATGTTTCATTTAAAACTGAAAGAATATAACTTTTTTTCATTGTTGAGGTTAAGATTAGGCTTAAGTTCAGTAACAGTAACAAACTTGAACGATTTGAGGAAAATATCTAATTGTGATTTTTCTGACTAATATTATAGGTGAGATGTAAATTGTGATTATTTTCTATAAATGGCCCATTTCTTTGGCCGTGACTAGCATATCCACTTCTTCTTGCTTAAGGCTTGAATGCTGAACATGTTAGTTAGTAAACTGTGTTGTAATGTACACAGCATGAATGTATTCGATTGCTTCTGATTGGTCTAATTATTATTAGTAGTATTAGATTATATTTTCACACTTGAAACTTGTTGAGGACAGCATTGATGATAATGTTACCTAAAAAAAAGACAACTTGTGTGATTTGAAAACTTGCTTTTTCTTTTTAAATGTACAGTCACTGTCTATTTACTGAAATTAACACATTGGGGAAAAAATGTGTCCTGTGCAAGTTATGGCACATTTTATATTTGATGTTTTGCAAAAAGAAATTGTGCCTTAAAAATACATATTTAAGTAGAGGATGTCTTAACATATTTTCACTTAGAAAATCATAAAAATGTGTCATTTGACCAGGGGTGCTGTAACTTTTGCATTCAGCAGTAGGTGCATATGTATGACCCTGTATTCTGATTAAAAAACTTGCATGTGCAGGTGTGTGTGGTCCCACCTCTACAGCATTTCTTCATATCTTCAGAGCTCTGTAGCCAACTGTTCTTCAACAAGAGAGATGGCTGCTTCGAGAGAGTAGCTCGCTGGAGACAGAGAGCGAGAGAGGGAGAAAAAGAGAGAGAGAGAAGCCTAAGCCTATAACCAAGCCAAACTGTAAATATGTAGCTGGCTAATTTAAATTATTATTACATAGCAGCTTTTTCAAGTAGCCCTAAAAGGCTGTGATCAGGCAATGATCTTGCAGCAGCACAGTGATTGGCTAATGATGTAGTAAATACCCGGCGGATGGAGGTGGAGTCTGAGTGCTGCTGACGCTCCTGAGGGTCCATTACAATCTCGTTCTGACGGAACACTCGATGATTCCGCAGCTGCCGCACCCATTCATCAAACAGATCCCGTGACTTCACCTACCAAAACACGTGTTCTTAGTTTGTGCGTGTGTGTGTGTGTGTTTTACAAGTCACATACACACTCACACACATGAATACTGGGTTAAAGTGATACTTGACAATATTTGGACCCTTAGCTGGCCTAAAAACCCACTTGAAATAAACTACTATGGATTATTTGTAATAACTATAAAACTAATATTAGATTCAGGTCTTTATCATAGAAGAACCCCAACATATCCACTTTTAGAGCACCAGAATACCAGTTAGTTGTGGTTATGATGTCAGAACACATTACTTCTGACTATTATGTAGGCTATAATCAAAATAGCAAGTCTTGTGATGTAAAAATTGCGCTCTTTCAAATTGCGATTTTGACTAAAAAAGATTAATCTTTCAGCCCTGCTTAAACACTTCACAACTGCATGTCTAATTGCAAAGAGAGCATAATTTGCCCTGTTTAAATGGATCTAATGCAGCACAGTATGTTGAATATAAATCATTGTATTGATAGTTTTTGGTAGATTCTTTTTAATGTGTCACAACTTACTTATTTCAAATTATCAGATGTCAGAAAAAAAAAATGTTTTGACATACTCTGTATCGTTAAAACATCTTGAAGTATTGTGATATTACATTTTTGCCATATCGCCCAGCTCTAACTCATATTTAATAATATACAGTTATTAAAATGAAGAACTACTGTGTTATCAGTGTTGCTCAAAAAAGTCTGAATTTAAGGTAAGTTACTGGTAACTAAAAGAAATGTTTCTTTTTTGATACTCTGTAGTGAATAACTGACACAGGTGTTGTCATAACCAGGTTATACAGTAGCAGTTATCTGTCCACAGATGACAGCTACCAAATGCCAGCATTATGTAATGTTTGTTTGAGATCGAACTCCTTTTCACTTCAAATGTACATTATTCCCAATCTTTGTTATCACTTGCAGTTGAAGCTGATGTTAACTGACAAAATGTCAGACTGACAGCAACATGGCTTATTTACTCTTCCTTTTGATGACCAAGAATAGAAAATCATGAAGGGCTTCTGTTTTTTAAGCAATTCAAAGTATTCACTCTGTATGCAGCAGCAACGATATATTACTTTGCTGCATATTTATACTTTTGAAAAAATATACAGCGTAACTTTTTTGGTAATTTTGACTCTACCTAACTTTGGGGGCACTTACTCTGTCCTTCATAAGGGCTTTCCAACTGGTAAACCAATGAAGCCAATGTTTACCATGCTTCTTTACTGATGCTAGTCACTTAGTTTTCTTCCTTCATTTTCTTTTGCGTTTTTACACAGTCTAACATTACTTGCTGGCAACTCCTTGGTCTTTTTTGCTTGTAAAGAGTCGTGATCATCCTCCATGATAATTTTTTATATTCAGTATTTAGCAACACACATCTCATCTGTCTGGTACTGCACTGAAAAAACAAAAGCAATAGCAGCTTTAACTGAGCAGCATGCAAATCTTTTTCTTTTACAGCGAGTTTGCCTGGCTGTTGTTACATGATCTAAACATGGCATTGCTCATGTGTAGACACGTGCATCATTAAAATAATAACATGATTCATACAATTCCACAAAGTAGTTTAGGTCTTCTTCTCAGGTGAGTCTATGTTATAAAAGAAACTTAAAGACAAAGACATACCACTTTTATATAAAGCATTTCCTTTTTTTCACTCGTAAACATAGCTTATTGCTCCTTTACATACAGTATGTCAAAGAAATACATGGCATTATGTATATTAGTGCATTTAGGTTTGTGTGTGATTAGGAGCGAGTGTGTGATGTGCACAAGAATTGTTTGAGGGACTATATATGTGATGTCTGTATGTATCCACCTTTAAGTGGTAGATGCTGTCTTCTGCGTCCAGATCGATGCACATGGCCTTCTTCTTGATGGACATAACGGAAAGGCCAATATCAATGCGGCCACGCAGCTTCCCTTTCTTCAACTACACACAAAGAAAGTGTCTTTAATCCTTTAAAAACAAAGGGCTTCAATGTGGGCCCACAATTCAATTATTCACTCCTATAACAACATATTAGGTTCATAGCAGTTACTAAATAATAGGTCTGCAATTAAAACAGTTAAAGACTTGACATAAGCAACCCCCCTAAAGTATAAAATTCATAATATGAACAGTTGTATGCAAAACTCTGGCCAAAGATTTCCATTATTATTTCAACAGTTCATAGCACTTATTTCCAGAAAGTCTCTGGTCATTTTTGTGCTTTGTTGACCTTTGTAATGAGGTCACAGGTTTTCCTCTGGTGACTCTTTTGTGCAGATCCTGTTTGTGCAAGCAATGCTGCACCGTAGGATGGTGCACCACCATTCCTGTATCAGCTAAACCTTTCTGCATGTATTTTGCTGTCATGACTTACACAGTTCCCCTTAACTGCCATTTCTCTATGCCATTTCAGACAGTGGAAATTTCAAGCTGGAAGTGCTGTGATATCTTTTTTTAGCCTTCTCTTGCTTTGTAGGCGTCAATTAGTATCATCTTCGGATGCCCAGCATAACACTCTGGAATTATCATCATAATGCCTGATGACAGTTCTTAACCTGCCTAACCAGGCCTGTCAATTAAGGGTGAGCTAATTAAGTGGGTGTCCAAACATTTATACATGCCACAATTACTTTTTTGTGTCTAATCAAATATTAAGTAATTGTAAATGATTAAAAATGATATTTTTCAAAATGATTGTGTTTATTTCTTTTCACCTCAATAATCAAAAAAATGTGTGATTTGGCCAGAGATGCCTAAAAATTTTCATACAACTGTTTGTGTTTAAGTGTGTTTATGTGTTATGTGTGTACTCACATCTGCTAATGTTTTGGCATACATTAGAATGCCCTTCTCCAGAAGAAAGTATCTCTGCCAAACAAGAAACAGAGCAAGAATAATTCAGAAAGAGAGGACTGTCTGTTTTCTTTTCAAAAGTATGTATTTAGAAACAGACCAGAAACCCTGCTAAATCTTCTGTAATCAGCCATACACTGAGAGAATAACAAGAAAATACTGTGTTTAATGTTCTCATTACAACTGACAGAAAGATGATTTGTGCAAATAGTTAGCCTCCTTCTATGAGCTCTAGATATCAATACATTTGTTAGATTTTTTTTTCTCAATGTAGCTACTTAAAAACTCTGGGTTTTTTTTAGGTCAGACATATTGGTGTCACCTTGTGCCAGCCTTTCATTGGCCATTTCCTTTTCTTGAGCAGGAAGCCCTCTTGCTTGCCTGGTTTCTGCACGTTGCTTGTGGCTTCCTGCAAGTCTTTAACCACCTCCCAGCCATCCTGCTGTAAGAGCAACAACCAGGAGAGCTGTTAAACAACAACAATCACCCTCCACTTTATTGGAAACACCCATTGTTCTGCATTTCGGTCTTGAGTCCCAAAAACCAAGAAACAGAAAAGAACATCTGGCAATAATAAAGAGAACAACATTAATTTCATTTCACCTTAGCAAGGAAATTCGGAGAGCGAATACCAGCTGAATTATACTTAATAACATTGGCTGGCTAAACCATTCCTGATTCTCCTCTGTCAGATGGTTAGATGTTATGGCCCTGGCAATGTTGTTTGATTTCATTACAAATTTTACACTTCACTACACTTACTCTACCCCTTCTGCATACAATATTATGTATTATATGGGTTTCAGTCTAGGGTATAAACTGAGGAAGTGCTAAAATTAACAGCAGGAAATGAAAGCTTTAAAACAAACAAGTTTTGCGTTTTGCGTTTGTGTCAATACTGTCTGGGAAGGCATTTAAGATAGTGAGAGAGAGTGATATTCAAACTTTTTGGCATTACAACCTACTTCAATTTTATTTTTTAGGACATTAGTAAGTAAAACTAATGAGTGAAAATTAGTGAAGTGAGTGAAACTGAACATATTTTGCAAATGAGTTTACAATTCACACCAAATATATAAACATTCCTGATACCAATAGCCTGCACAACATCCTGTGCGAACCCTGAGTTTCAAAACATCCATTCAGAACAGAGTAACTGATTCATTTTGACGTGTCACTGCAATGCTGAGAATGATCCACCACCCAAGTAATACCTGCTCTGTGGTGGCCCTGAACACTGAAGAACAGGGTTAAAGTGGGCTTACAAAGTAAGCTGAGAATCAGATGGACTATAGTCTGTAATTGCAGAAGTTCAAAGCGCACCAATATTGTAAGTGGAGCTGATAAAATGGACCTAATAAAGAGCTTGGTTTCCACTCAGTGGCCACCTTATAAGCTCCATCCACCTTACAGAACCACCATTCAAATATTCTGTTCCACCTTAAATGACACCTGATGAATCATTTTTAATTAAGCAAACACACATAAAACAAACAACTATGTAAGAAATTAAGTAATTAAGTAAGTAAAATTAGTACATGAATGAATTAATTAAAAGCAATCAAACAAAAATAACAAATCAAAAACAACAATAAATAAAAAAAATAGCAGGTAGACTACGTACAGAACAGACAATAGAGCTAGACTGGGTACACAGCAGTTCGATAGCAGAACATTTCAGTAGTGGGCATAGATTATTGGCAACTAGCAAAAAGAGGCCCTTAGGCAGTGTCAGATCTGTGAAAGACTGCTGTATCATTTAAGGTTGAAAGAATATTTGACTGAGAGGCTGACTTCAGCCTCTTGAATGTTTATGTTTTGCTATATGATAGTTATCTTTCTTTTCATAGTTTTTCTTAAAGCCAGAAAACTTAAAAAGGTATTCCAAAGGAAACAGCAGAGTACAGCACCTATACCGAGTCTTACAAAAATCGGTCTTGGCAAAGTGACGGCTGCAGACACGAATGTATCCTAGGTATGGATGTTTTTTTTGGAGTGGTGGCACTGAGGAACACAGCAAAATGCCTTAAAAAACTAAAAAAATAACTATTTATACTGTAAGGTGAGAATTGGCAACCTGAGCTTCAACAAATATACACCACTGTATTATTAAATCCATTATAAGAGCTTTTGTTGCTTTTATGAAACCCATGAAGTGTTTCTCTTTTTCTTTCTTTCATTATTTATGTTAGCCCTACACTGGGGTTGGGGTTAACAATGTTGCTTTAAATAGGTGTATAGCATCACCTAATGTTTGTTTTGTGTAATGGCTTACACGTTTCAACAATGAGTATCAGGAACACTTCGACCAGTCACTCAGTCAGTCACTCAGTAAGAGAAAACGACTTTCATAGGCTGGCCTGCTGAGCAAATTAGTTTTCTGATGATATGGGCCCTTTAAACTATAAACTGGAGCATCCCAAAAGGGTGCTGAGAACAGGCCAAAAGTGCAGAATTTTCCAAACCATATTAGGGATATGGCAATCCTCGCTGTAAATGCCAGTGGTGGATGAATACTCTAAAGAGAGTTACAGTAGAGAAAAATGAATCTTGCCTGTTTGTCATCCTGAGTTGAGGAATCGCTGTCTTCAAGAAGTGGCAGTGACGTCGCACTTGAAGATGTAGGGAGGAGGGAAGTTGTTGATGTCATCTCCAACACTGATGATGCGCTTTGCTGTTCTGAGTTCATACTGCAATCTGGTCACCGTTGAGGCCACAATGAGAAAGATTCTACACTGCCATGACCACTGCAGCTGCTAGAGAGAGAGGACAAGACAGAAGTAAGAAAAGGATACAAATGTCAAGACAGCTCTCATAGTGAGGCTGTTCTTCAGTTAAACCTGATGTGAATTTGAGAATGTAAAGAAAGCTCTTTAGGAACAGCTGTCGGATTCCCTGACAGTTTTGTTGAAACAACCTTTCGTCTGCACTCTAAAGCATTACAATTTCAAACACAGCTTCTTTACACTCCAACTACTTTCAACCACAAACATACACACAAATGGAGGAAATGTTCAGAATACCACAACTTTCTCTTTCATTGTCTACTAAACTCTTTCTTTGCAAGTCTCCTTGACTTACTGCTGCTAGAACACTCAATGACCTGCATGACTGAAAACCTACAGACACAACTTTCTCTTTCGGTTCTCTCTCTCAACGTCAGAATCAATGCATGTATGTAAAAGCTGCATCAACCTGTTCTCATGCTTTATACAAGGGTTTTCCAACCTTCTCCTAACCCCTTCCTTTTGTTATTTTTCTTGAGTACCCTTTGAGATTTAAAGTTGGATAATATTAAATGAAACTTTTTTTGAGCGGGACCAACTTTGTGAGAAACAAATATCACTCTAGGCCTTCTGGAAGATACATCACTATGTATGAGCATGAGTGGTAGCTTGCCAGTGCATTTCAGTCAGATGTTATAAACTTAAAACAGGAGCAGCTCTTTTTTTGCCAGGGTTCCTCACTGAATCACTGTAAAACTACTAAAATGTAAAATATATACTAATATGCCTGTTACAAGTTTCAAATAAAACATGGAATGTCTGTTACAAGCTTTAAATGTCTGTGTTTAATCTGGAATGGCCAAAAAATGTTGTATGTAAATAGCTTAGCACTAACATATCAGTAAGTCTCCATAGAGGTGTTAGCAGAAATCAGCATTATCATAGAAGTGTGTTTTTTCCTCAGGTTCTGATATTTATGGCCCAAACTGAAGGCCTAACTCTTGGTTTGTGATATCATGTATAATATATCATTGTCTGGTAGTCCCCTAACCATTACTTCTTGACAAACTAATAACACTGATTAAGTTTAACCATGTGAAGGCTACTGCTACTACAGCATTTTGTTTAGGTAACTAATATAATTACAACATGAAAATCTTTTAAGCCCCTGCTCACGTTTCTTAAAGGGGAGCCATTCTGTGTAAGGAAGGCTGCTGCACAGCTTTATCAGCATAACAGGTTTAACAAGCATAAAACGCACTGCTATAAAATGTTCTACAGCCACACAACATATCAGGGCTGATTCAGGACATTAAACATTAAAAGAAAACTTGTTAAAGGAAACTGATTGTGAAACAAACACAACTATTTCTGTGCATCTTAAAGCTGTGGACATCATGTTTTTGGACATTTAAATTGTCCAACTTGATTGACAATTGTGATAGACTGATTCAGTGCCTTAGACAATTTCTTCTCTTTTTGTTTTTCTGCACCTCAGTCATATAATTAACTAACCATACAGTCCTTCTCAATCTGTGTTGTGCAGAGAAAGCATGAAAGTATGTTATGCAGGCAAGTAACAGGACTAGAGCTGGTTAAACAATGCCCTGAATCAATGGTTCCCAATCTTGGCATTGGAGTACCCCCTGCCCTGTATATGCTCTGTATTTGTACTGCTCTAACACACCAACTAATCAGCTTATTAACCTCTGTATTATATCCAAATAATAAACATGAAGTTTAACCCTTTTAACTGTAGCCAAAAATGCAATTTCTACCTGTTGTGGGGGTCACTTATGCATTTTATTTTCTCCAATAATGTTAATATTTCAATGAAAATGTGTATGATTAATAAAAGTCTTTTTTTGTGTTTAAACTGTTTTTTTATAGTGGCAGTTCTGCTTGATCTTTTGACATGAAGAAAGTAGCAGTTGTGCTGTCTGTTTTATCCAGACAGGGTCTCACTTGTGGAGAGAGGTGTCAATTGTTTTCACAGCAGGAGGTTCTCACCCCTACCCGTTCACCCCTGCTGGCTAGCAGCTCAATATTTCACACACACACACACAGAGCCAACAGTGTCCTTGATATCTGATATGAAGTTATAGGGAAAATATTTTATTTGATTATATTAATTAAAAACATCTGAGTCAATTTCAATTGCATCTATGCAATGGCCAATAGGGGGCCTGCAGACAGAAGTAACTGAATCATTCAGTAACTGTTATCAAACTGTAAAATGTAAGTTCTGTAGTTATGAGACTGAGAAGTGAAAGTTGGGACTTTCCAATGATGGAGTTTAAGGCACTAATGAGTGCCTGTGTAAATTGTGTTACAGCAGAAGAAACACAAAACAATGCAGAGCAGAGATACACTAGGACCAGGGCTGAGAACTACCCTAGACCCTAGTCTAATGATTCTTGATTTCTGCTGAGGCACACAAGTGGTAGGGTCAAAATTTGGCACAAATAGCATGAATCCATGGACCCAACCTGCCTTGTGTCAGAGGTGGTGTTTTCTTGGCACCCTTTGGACCAGTTAATACCAATCAATCATTACTTAAATACCACAGTCTGTTTGAGTATGGTTGCTGACCATATGCATCCCCAGAAGTGGCAAGCATGCCAGACGAGTTCATAAGCAGTTTACACTTTGAAATGTCTTTACTACAGTGTGTCTTCTAGGCCTCACTGCTTTAGCTGCAAAATAAACATTGTCAGGATTTCTTCAGGAACTTTTATAGAAAGTCACATTTGTCAGAAAAAATGTTCGTAAATTGCTCAGTGTTGGCACAGATAAGGGATTAGTCCCTTGTTGTGTTTTTTTATTCTCTCGGGGGCTTTTGAAAAGGGGATATTAAACAACATGGACAAGTTAACAGCCTGCAGACAGAGCACAGATATTTTTGTTTTTTAAGAGGACCCTGGTTTCTTTCCCATATGCATCCCTTCATGGCCACACTTTACCCATCTTCTAATGGCTACTACCAGCATGATAATGCACCATGTCACAAAGCAAAAGTCATCTCAAACTGGTTTCACGAACACATTTGGGATGCGGTAAAACAGGAGATCTGCAGCATAAAAATGCACCTGAAAAATCTGCAGGAATAAGATCATGACAACATGGACCTGAATCTTACAGGAATGTTCCCAACATTTTGTGGAATCCATGCCATGAAGAACTAAGGCTGTTTTGAGAGGAAGATGGGAAGGAGGCCCTACTGGTATTAGTATAGTGTTCCTAATAGTGCTTGGTGAGTGTATATTTTTAAGTATACAGTGCTGTGTAAAAGTATTTCCCATCTACACTAAAGTATTTGCCCCTTCCCAATTTCTTCTATTTCTGCAGATGTATCACACTTGAATGTTTCAAATCATCAAACTACTTTTAATATTAGACAAAGATAAGTAAACATAAAATGCTGATTGAATGCTGAAATGATTATTTCAATTATTAAAGGAAAATGCTGTTCAGCCCTACCTGGCCCTATGTGGAAAAGTAACTACTAAATCAACCAGTTAATCAAATTTAATTGACTACTGGGTTCAATTTCACTAGCCACACCCAGACATGACTAATGCCGGACCTGTTGAACATCACTGAAGAAAGCCTATCTCACACTGCAAAGCAGACTAGAAGGTCTCAAAAAGCAGCACATGAAGCCACATTCTATCAGTCTGGAAAGGGTCACAAAGCCATTGCAAAGGCTCTGGGACTCAAGCAAACCAGAGTGAAAGTCATTATCCACAAATCGAGAAAACTTGGAACAGTGGTAAACCTTCCTAGAAGTGGCAAGCCTACCAACATTTCACCAAGAGCACATCAATGACTCATCCAGGAGGTCAAAAAAAGAACCCAGACAAACATTTAAAGAACTGCAGGCCTCACTTGCCTCAGTTAAGGCCAGTGTACATGATTGCATAATAAGAAAGACACTGAACAAAAATGGCATCTATGGGAGAGCTGCAAGGCGCAAATCACTGCTGATTAAAAATAACGCAAAGGCTCATTTCACATTTGCCAAAAAACATCTAGATGACCCCCAAGACTTTTGGGAGGTGGAACTTTCTGAAAGACACAGGTCCTGTTACATCCTGCGTAAACACCACATTCCACCATAAGAACATCATACCAACATTCAAACATGGTGGTGGTAGAGTGATAGTCTGGGGCTGCTTCGCTTCTACAAGACCTGGACAACTTGTCATAATTGATGGAACCATGATTTCTGCTCTTTATCAGAAAATCTTGAAGGAGAATGTCTGCCTGTCAGTTTTTGATCTAAAGCAGTAAGTGCAGTTGGGTTATGCAGTAGGACAATGATCCAAAGCACACAAGCAAGTCCATCTCTGAATGGCTCTGAAAGAAACAAAATAAAGGTACTGGAATGGCTGAGTCAAAGTCCTGACTTGAATCCCATTGAGATGCTGTGACAAGACTTTAAATGGGCAGCTCACGCTCGAAAACCCTCCAATGCAGACAAATGAAAACAATTCTGCAAAGAGAGTGGGCCAAAATTTCTCCATAGAGGTGTAAAAGACTTATTGCAAGTCATCACAAATGTCTGATTGCTGTTGTTACTGCCAAGGGTAGAACAACCAGTTAATAGTTGGGGTGGGGGTGGGGGGGTTACTTTATCTTATATTAAAATTAGTTGGGTGACCAGAAACATTTAAATGTGGCATAATAGCAAAAACAGAAGAAATTGGGTGAGGAGCAAATACTTTTAACTGCACTGTAGTGATGCACAGATCCCAGTTTTTCTCTTCCGATACTGAATCCGATAATTTAACTCTGGGTATCGGCCGATGTGGACTGCTGATCCAATCTCAGTGCTTTTTATTCAAATTCTGTATACCTCACTGTGTCTAACACAAGGCAGTAACCACAGCAAATAAGTAGTAAAAATGAAAATTAAAAAGAATGAAAAACAAGAATGAAGTGTTACAAGAAAAAAAAACTCAATAATAATGTTATTGTTGTTATGCTTCTGGACAATGCAACAGCAAAATAAACAGTTACTATTCCAG